TCTTATGACAATTTTTTTTAATGTCAAATTTATTGTCTACTTATTAGAAGTTATGGTTGGATACAATATTTACTTAAAAAAATTACACTTAAAAAAAATTGAGCTAATTATTATTAGAGAAAAATACTTGGAGGGTGAGATTTCGTGTTCATAATAGTTTTATCTTATTCCAGCCAAATTATTTCTTATAAAATTATTAAAAAAAAATCAACATTAATCAGTCAATCATAAACCATTTAACCTAACGGTATGTGAGTTTTCAGATTTTTATTTTTGAATATAATTTTTTAAACAAAATGTATTCAGAAAAAAAAGCTTTTTATTTCAATTTATGAATTTAGATTTTAATTTTCAATTTTCAGTTTTAAAGGATAACTTTAGTAATTTTGACGATTTAATTTATCGTTATGTCATTTTACAACCATCTTCATAGTTTATTATTATCATTATATTATTATTGTGATTAAAATGATTAAACGTATATTTCTGATTCAGTCTGGTGAGTGATTATGTGTGTGAATATTGAATAGCATGCGCAGCCTTGTTCTTCTTGAGGATCTCGAGTCAATTAATTAGTGTTGTAATTAAAAAGTAATAATTCAAATAAAATATTAAGGAGTTGTTGAAACCTGTTAATCAAAAAAGGGAGTTATTATGAACACTAATTTAGTCAATTAACACATTCTCATCACTTACGTATCAGCAATCACTTCCTAACCGAATCAAACCACTTATTAATGCAATACAATTTTTCATTTGATCTAATCTATATATCCACGTCATTTTCCATGTGGGTTATACTGATCACACATGTCCACGTACACCGTCATACATGTGTAAAACAAAGTTCATCAATAACTTTTGTAACATAAGTTTTCTATTTTAGGGTTTGTTAAACTATGGTTTTTGTTTTAAAGGAAATAGACAAAAGAGATCGAAGTATTTCACTAGGTCCTATTTATTATAGTATGATTTTTTTCTTTTAATTTATTCATATTTTTTATTTATTATTTGAGGATTATATTTTATATGTTTAAATCGGTTAAGAATTAAGAAATTAAGGTAAAATATAGTTTATATATACTTTTATCTCTTAATTTATTAAACATTTTTTTAAAGATAAACGGTAAAAAAAATGAGTTCAAAATATATGATACTTAATAATTAATCCTAAAAATACTATTATAATATATATATATATATATATATATAAATAAAAAGATACTTTTCTTCACCATATTCATTATAAAAAAATGAAATGAAATTTAAATAAATAATAAGAGAATTACCCTTATTTAAATATAATATGACATGTATTTTAATTTTTTTACTGCTGTGTACAACATTTTAAACGGCTTCGAATTGTCAATTATTTAGGTTTAGAAAACATATTTGGTGACGTGACGACAATTTTGTTTTGTAGCACAAGCATACAAGTCGCAATTGAAATTTGAAAAGACTGCCATAAAATTATTTATAAAAAGCACGAAGATAAATGAAATATTAAAAAATATTTGACAATAAGATACAATAACGCTTCTTGCAAGCAATTTAGTTATTAAACAATTATTATCACATACATCACTCTCATTTTGCAATTGCCTAGTTAAACACTTCACCTATCTCATTTTCTGTTCTAGTTTTAAGTTTATTAGCTTGCATTTTCCTTCATTAGTGATTAACTAATTATTATACATATTTCTTTACATAACTTGTACATAAATTTCATAGAACATATTCGCTTCTATCATTAATCTAAAATGGTTATAACATAATATTACATATACCAAGAAAAAGTAATTAATTTAGTTTATTTTATTAAATTTTCAAAATAATTTATTATAAGTGTTATTGTTTTGAAATATTTATATGTGAGACCAAAGTGACATATACATGACGATTGAGAGTGGTTACAACAATAGATATCTTTCTCTCTCTCTTATGTATTGAGATTTTTATGTGTAACTCTAGTATTTTAAATCATACATATAATATATAAACTTTCATATTTTATTAACACATTTCAGAAAACTAACAAAACTCAATATAAAATATTATGTAAAGAAAAGCATAAAGAAAAAAAAGAGAATTATCCATGTTTAGAAGCCAGCACGTTTTAAACATGAAAGTATTTGAAAATTACTGAAAATGATATGCAAAAGTTCTCAGGATTTACAATTTTCTAAAGAGTTACCCATCATAGTTCTGGAAAAAAAAAAGTGTGCTTGGAACAGATGAAATAGAAAGGAAAAGAGTAGAAGAGAAAGAAAAAAAAAATGACGTTGGGAAATATTTTTTTATTATTGGATAGAGTAGAATTATAAATAAATATTTTTAAATTAGCAGATCCCACAAAACATAATTTATAGAAATGAAGAACAATTTACATGAAATCTTTGAATAACATGTAACTTAATTTATGTTGAGCATAAGTTATTATTTTCAAAAGCATAACATGTTAGGCTCGACAACATAATAAATTATGATATTCTTTTTTTTTTTCCTTTTCTACTTTTCTCATGTTTCTTTTTTATTTCTCTAAAATTAAACACATTTAACTTTATTATTATATTTATTACATATTTTGTTCTTGCCAAAATACAATTACTCAAAAGTGAAGTTACTAAAGTTTTTAATTTAAAGTCTAAAACATAATTTTATTTACTAATATTATTTTTTAATAATAAGAAAAACACACCGTGCAAACATTAACCTAATTGGTTATGATGTGTAATTTATTGAAAGCATTTATTATGAACAACACAACACGAACGAATGCGTTTTCTTCTTCTTTTTTAATTTCTGTTTTACGTCATGACGAGGTTACGATCACGAAATGTTACCTTTTATTATATGACATTATTATAAGATTGATTTTAATTTGTATATAATTTTTTTATTCAATTTGATAAAACTTTTCTCAATAATCAATTTGGTCTAAATATAAATTACTTATTGATTGAATCAACCAAGAAGTCACCAGGTGAATTAATTGTTGTGTATTACTACTTCAAATTATTAGTGTACTTTGTGCAATTATTTTTAGACTCGTAATATATTTAGAAATATATGTGTTTGAAAGTAAACGTGAATGTATAACTACTCCCTCATATACTTAATTATTTTTCCTTGTTGTCACGTCAATGTGCTTTTATTTCAAATATCTGTCGTTACTTTCATACTTTTATACCCCTCTAACAAAAAAAAAGGATAAAACATGTGATGCAATTTTTCTAAAATAATCTTTGACATCATAGTGCAATTTTTCTAATGTGTGTATATAATTTATTAACAAGCATAATTATTAAATATTAATTAAGATTTCCTCCTTTATATTATAGTTTATGTTTTAACCAAATTGATTTTAATATCAATTTCATATTAATATTTTAATGTTTTGGTAATACATATAAAATTTCTATATAAACTTTATTTAAATATTTTAAAATTTTAGTATAATGTTTTTATCGTTTTAAAATTAAAAAAAAAAACTATCTCTATTTTTAAAATCTTGTAAATGAATGAATTTTTATTTAAGTATTTGTTTATAAAGTTTTTAATTTAAAATTATTATTTTTCTCCTTAACACTCTGACTTTAATTGAGATAAATTAGTAATTGTTATTTACGAATCTTAAAGTTGTTCAGAAGTATTATATATTATAGAAAAAACACTAATGAATATATATTTGAAATTATTACTTAACCTAACGTTAACAGGAATTAACTATTGTCACATAATATAATAAATTACAAATATTGATTTTTAATTATAGAGAATGAAAAAAAAAGAAGAAGAGGGAAATCCATCTAGAAGATATAATGAAATCATTTATACATAGAGGGAAATAATTATTTGTTATATAGATATAGTTGTTTATGTGAATAGGGTTGGGAAAGAAAGAGAGTTAGAACAGAATGTTTGACTCAAAAGAAAGTATAGTTTTAATTAAATGAGGGGAATAATCTTCAATCCACGTGCACATGTAATATGTAAGGATTGATTCCATAAGCCAAATAATGTAGTTAGTTAGGTCCCACAAAAGTTAATCAAATCCAAACCTAAAACATATCTATCCCAATATATAACTTCCAAATATAGTCTAACTATAATACCAAACTCTCCCAACGATTAATTTTCTCATGTAAAAACATGTTCTTCTTTTGCATGTCACACAAACAACCTTTGTATATGTCAAAACCACTTTTCTTAGGTGAATACTATGTATCCCTAGAGTTGAATTTTCCATGTACATGCACGGCTCAACTTATTAGATCATTGTTTATTTTTATTTTTCCAAAAGCACTTTTTAGTCGCGATGGCAAAGTGATTCACGTTTTATCATCATTGTTGTCACATATATAAGACATACCCATTTTGTGGAAAATTGAAAACCATATCCCATGTCAATGTAATTCCATTAGCAAATACATAAAATATGGAAAAATAAGCACGATTGGTGGGTTACAAGTAGACGTTGTAGGTTAGAAACTTGGAAAGATGTTGAAAGCAGAACCAAACTCGCTTTTCTAAGCAACCTCTTTTCTTTCCCTCACATCATATATATGTGTATATGTGTACATATATATATAAAAAATTTAAATTATTTTATTTTGTTTATTTGTGTGTTTGTGTATTACTTATAAGAGGGTTTGTTAGCCAAAACGTTTGCATCAATCGCAGGTGTAAGAGGTTTGTCCAATCCCTCCAACTCTCTAACGGAAAACACTTTCCCATCTTCCCCCACCATATATTCTCTTCTTCTGTCTCTTTCTACTCCCTTGTCTTTATTCTTAGTTTCTTATCTCTCTGTTATTATCCTCTCTCTCTTATACCTCCAATATTCCTTACTCATCATCATACATAGCTTAGGGAGAGGAAGATATAAAGATCAAACAAGAGGGAGAGGAGCAAAAGGGTGGGGAAAATAACATACCCTAATCTTGAATTAGGGTTTTTTTTGTTCTTTCTTTCTGTTTTAGTTTCTAGGGAGAGGTAATATGTGCAGTAGAGGCCATTGGAGACCAGCTGAGGATGAGAAGCTTCGGGAATTGGTGGAACGCTATGGACCTCATAATTGGAACGCCATAGCTGAGAAGCTTCGAGGAAGATCAGGTGAAAGGATCATGTCATGTATATACAGTATTATCTTCTTGTTCATCTTCTTCTTGTTTGCAACAACTTTTCCTCTATTCAGATCAAACAATTATTTTATTACAAAATATTAAGGTATAACGATCGAGCAAAATATGAAAAGTTAGCACAACCTAACTCAGTTTAACTTTGTTGTAGCTACTGATTGTGATATTAATTAAATTTCATTATTGGTACTAATAATGGCTTTTAGAGTAAAACTTTTCAACATATGAGCGTGGAGTGGGGTATGAATACAATTTTGGGATGAAGAAATTAAAGGTCTTTATTGTATTCTATTTGACAAACCCATTAGGGTTTCACACAGTCAGATTGAGGGAAACACCTACTATAATCATGTAGTTAATAGTAGCTGATTAATATATTTGTGCAGATTATATTAAAGATTTTACTAATTAAAATATCTGTTAAATGTTAAGAATTTTCATTAGATTAATAGTTATACACCAACATTTATACTGTCATCTAATTACAAACTACCTTCTGGTAGGTTTGTTGACTTTTACTATAATAGTTTTTCAAAAAGTCGCATTAAAAGTGGTGATTTGTGAACAGATAACGGTGTAAAACTGTATAGTTTTTTCTGTTCTTGTATTACATATATATTTAATATAGAGAACACTTTCATGAATTTGTAAGTTTGTGAAGTTGAACAGGATGATGAATTGTTGTGCAGGGAAAAGCTGTAGGTTGAGATGGTTCAATCAATTGGACCCAAGAATAAACAGAAGTCCATTTACAGAGGAAGAAGAAGAGAGACTTCTTGCTTCGCACAGGATTCATGGGAATAGATGGGCTGTGATAGCAAGACACTTCCCAGGAAGAACTGATAACGCCGTCAAAAACCATTGGCATGTGATGATGGCAAGGATTCGGAGAGAAAAGTCCAAAGTTTATAACACAAAACAGCCACTTTTTCCTCCAAACCTTGAGACATCTATTCCTTCTTTTGTTGAGAAGTATTATGAAAAGTTCAGCAGCCATCACCACCACCACCCCTCTGTCACACACACACCATTTCAGTTTGCCAAGAAGTTTCACTTTCAACATCCAACTTCTGCTTCCACGGTGCCTCCAGGTAGATGCATTTCATGCTTTCTACAACTTCATTCAATCATTTCTTAACGAAAATTTTAAAAAATAAAGTTATGTAATAAGAGGTAAAAAAGATATTATAGTTTCATTAAATTCATGGGGACATGCTTGATATATATATATATATATATATATATATATATATATATATATATATTATAAGGACATGCTTGATAAAACTGATTTGCAAGTTCAATTTAAAAGTTAAAAGTTTATAGATCAATTGATTGGATTGAAACATATTGTGGATAAGCTTCTTTATAAATATTTGTTAGAAAAATAATATGAAAAAAAAGTTATATATTTTGAAAACTCAAATGAGACAGTTCTTATTAATTAACATATACATAAAGTAATGTTAACTTTTGAAGAAACTTATATAAAAAAAATTTTATCTTATTTTACTTAAACATTGTAAAAAAACGATTTTTTTTTTATATATAGTAAATTAGTGGAGATAAAATTAGAGGGGCTAATGGCTAATAAGCTACAAACGAACTAAATAGTTTATATAAAATTAACTGTAAAAATACTAAAACAAACTATATATCAAACAAATTAATCGTATCCAAATAGGTTCATAAATTACTTAAGTGATATGCTAAACAACCTATAAATTTGTGACTCTAATATAATTTACCAAATGAAATGATCTATTATAATATCAATCATCATGTACAAAACAACAAAAGTTCACAACAACTATGGTAACCAATTCATTTTAGTACCATAAAAAGACTATATTCACAAAGACAATTTTAATTACTTGTTACTATATATATGAAATATTTTTAATATATTTATATCAAAGGATCCTTCTAAATAGAAAGTGATTGAAGAGTACATTAGAAATGACAGAAGTAAGCTATTATACTTTGCAATACAATACAACTTTTTTGTCTTATTCTGTGTCCTTAATTAGGCTCATTTGCACCAATCATGGATTGACCAAAAGTATACAACACATATTTTCCCCGTTGGGTGAAGAGTTAATAATGAAATGTTGGTTATATTGCAGAGAGGAGTCAATCAGTGGAGTTCTATGATTTTCTTCAAGTAAACACAGATTCCAACAAAAGTGAAGTGACAGACATTGCCAGAAGAGAGGAGGAGGAAGTGAGTCAAGATGGTGTGGGGCAGAAGAATATTGGTTTTCCATTCATTGATTTTTTGTCTACAGGAACCTGCTAACATAATTGCCAAAGTACAACAACGACAACCTTAATATTACCCATTATTGCTATGATCATTTGAACCTGACATCGAGAACAATATCTCGACCTAGATCCATATTCATGTAACATTCACAAAACAGTAATGTATTTAAGGATACGTGTACATTTATAACATGTAAAAAAATGCTTGTGAAAAGCTCCATGCATAAAAGATCATCCAAATGTTGCATCATGTAAACAGAAGAAAATCAGAAATTCTATAGATGCTTGCATCTTTAAAGATACTATTTTATGAAATCCACTTGGACGAGGGATTATATAGATCTAGTGTTAACGAGAAAAATTAGATGAAGAGATTCAATATATAAAAATTAATTATTATATAAAAATAAATAATATTATATAAAATATTTATTAGTATATTTAACATTATTAATTGAATTTAAATTTTTGAAAAGTAAAATTTATTTTATTATATATTCCTAAAATTTATTTCATTATCTATTATTTCTTAAAAAATGAGTTTATGGTTTTTTTAGACATTTTTAAATTTTAACCTCAATTTTTTTTTCATATTTTAACATCAAAATATAATATCATAAAATATTAAAATAACTAATTAATTTATAATACAAAATTATATTAATATTTCATATTTTTTATGTTACATGCTAATTTGTTATAATAATAAAAAATTGTTTAATATTTCCTTATTTTAAACAAATTATTGTTAGATATCTCTTTTATTTTCAATTTCTATAGATTTTATTTTATAAGATGAAGATGTGAAAGAGAAGAATATGAAACAGATGAGTGGTAAAGAAAAAAATAAAAATGTAAAAAATGATAAAAAATTAGGTAAAAAATTAAATATAATATTTATTGTAAGTTGAAAATTAATAGAAAAATAAAATAAAATTTATTAAAAAAATAATTTTTATTTAAATTTGAAAAATAATTACTGTTCCTTTTATTATTTAGATTTTTTTAATTCTTAATTTTTTATTTTTAATTAATTTCAAATCTTAAACCTTTTTCGTGAATTCTATTTAAAATTTTATCAATAGTTACGTAATGTTACGATAATGTTGCCATCGATGGGTTTGTAAAAAGGTAAGCTTGATGAGGTATTAGCATATGATTCAAAATTGAAGACCATATATCATGCCTGATCTTGTATAGAGTCTTGATTCATGAATTTAACATAGACAAAATGTTCTTGATCTCTTTCAACTTCGATAACATTATTCAAATATTAAAAGTATAACGATATTTTTTTTTTTATGCTTAAGAGGATCGTCTTTATTCGTAATTCTTATCTAAGACAATGTCGAGTTCCCTGTATACAGGTTATTTCCTCCATTTCTTCCAAAAGTTTACAGCTCTCGCTCCCTACGTCTTCGTCCTCATTACTTGAGGATGACAATGTTAGCCGTTTTCGCATGTTATCAAAATTAGATCGAAACAGTAAGTTTAACCAATTAGATTGGGAACCGGTCTAATAACGAGTTCAAAATTTCTTAAAAATGGATGAATAATGAACTGATCAAAAATCAGATAAATAAATTAAAAATTGAAAAAATCAGACAGGTTAAGGGATTATTTGGATTTTTTTTGTTCTCTATTTTTTTTAGTTTAACCTAAAGACACACAAATATGTTGAAAGAAAGTTGTTTTTGCAATAGTGGTGGTATTCTATTTTAAGTTCTGACTGAATCTCTCAACATCCTGATGAATTGTTTGTTCGTGGATCATATACGTTTGCATTTTTTCGCATTTGGATCTATTTTTTTCTTGTGTCTAAAATATAAGATAATATATTTATAAGTAAGTCATATATAAAAAATACATATATTATGATTAATAATATCTAAAATATTTAATAGTTACCATCTCAATTTGCACTTATATACAGTATTATGATAGATGGACTTTGTAAAGAAGGTAGGTATGCTTGATCAGACATTGGTTTTATGGTCTAAAGTGAAAGACGCCGTAATTAATGTTGTAAGTTTTATGACAGTTAGAAACATGGACGTTATAAACTTTTCTTATAGTATAAGTTATGTGTTACAAACATTTTTTATTAATATGTTATGAATATTTCTTATTTTCTAAGTTGTATGTTATAATACCTCTTGTTTTGTATGTTGTATTTTGTGAATACTTTTTATTTTGCACATTTTGTGTTATAAGCACCTCTTATTTTGTACTTGTATTTTTATGTAATGAACATCTTATCTTTTGCACATTTTGTATTATAAACATGTTTTATTTTATTTTATATACTGTATGTTATAAATATTTCTTATTTTGTACGTTATACATGATGAATAACTCTTTATACTTAGTATATTATGATATTTATTTTGCACATTGGATTATGAAAACCTAGTAAGTACCTTTATTTTTTACAGTATATATTATAAACACCTCTTACATACTTTTGTTTCGTAAGTGTAGAGGTATCAATATGGTTGTAACTTCTGAGTTTATTCGGTTGATCACGGTTCGAGTTAGTTTAGGTTTGATTTTTTTTATTTCTACGAATAATGGGTTAAAAATTAATTTGGTTCACTTAATACGTGGATTAAATGAGTTCGAGTCGGGTTATGATGGATTGACTCACAACTCACCAATAATTTTAAATTTAAAAAATAATTACAATAATTTAATAACGTTAATTAATGTTATCCTACATCGTTACATCTATTTCACATCGCTGCTACAAGCTAAATCGTTACTCAAGGCTCTGGTTGAGTTTGATTTTTTTTTCATTTCTATGTATAATGGGTTAAAAATAAACTTGACTCACTTAACTCACGAATTAAATGGGTTGGAATTGGTTATAGTGGGTTGGTCTAAAACCCACCATTGATTTTAAATTTAAAAAATAATTATAATAATTTAATAACCTTAATTGATGTTATCGTGCATCTCCACATCTACCTCAAGTCGCTACTATACGTAAAATATTCACTCAAGCTTATCATCTTGTTTGTTACACCACTACCTTTGCCACTAGACTTGGTCATTTGTCATCCATTTGTCGTACCACTACATCATCATGTTTGTTGTATTTGTTGCACCATTGCATTTCAGTCGCGTCACAATATTTATTGTGTTTCAGTCTTGTGTTTCAATCGCATAATAGCTTTTGCCCAGTCACCGCATTCCCGCATCATTGCATTTGTCGCACCACCAAGACATTGTGCTTAGTTGCACCATAGCTTTTGTCGTGTTTCAGTCACATTATAATGTTTATCGCATTTTAATTGCATCAGAGTCTTTGTCGTGTTTTTGCGTCATTGTGTCTTAGTCTTATAATTCAGTTGTGATTATTAGAAAAAAATGTTTCTGCATCTTTGTGTCTTGTCCTGTAATTCAGTTGTGATTATTAGAAAAAAAAATTGACATATAAAAATATAAATATGGGTTAGTGAGTCAACCCACCCGAAGGCATGGCAACGGGGCGGGGGCGGGTTTTGTCTCCCCGATCCCCGCTCCCGATCCCCATCGGGGTTAGAAATTAAGTCTCCATCTCCGTCTCTGCTGGGTTTCGGGTTCCCCATCCCCGCCTCATCCCCGAACTATATTATTTTTAAAAAGATAATTATATTTATAATAAATTAATTTTACTATCTATTTTTTATATATAAATAAATATTTATAATTTTATAATTTATAATAATTATTAATTAAATATACATTTTAATTTATTATATTTATATTAAAATATGTATGTAAAAGAAATATTTAATCATTTTTTATTTATAACATTATTATTATTATTATTATTATTATAATATTGTATTCAAATATTTGAATACTTATTACATTATCATTATTATTACAATACTCGTATTCAAACATTTGATTATATATATAAGTTAATTCATTTTTAAGTTGTCATTTAAAAATATGAAATATATAGTTTATAATGAAATATTTAATAAGTTAATTATTATTCAATTAGTTCAAAGTAATAAAAGTTTAAATTATCAATTCCTTTAATCCTTTAAAATACAATTATTTTATTAAGATAAAATTTGATATATGATAAATAAGAATAATAAGATAAACAAATGACATAATAAAACCTAATAAATATAAATTATAAATAAAATAATATTAGTTACTATTAATATTTATGTAAAATATTTAGAAAAAGATAAAGAATAAAAAAATTAACTGTGTTCATCAAATTGATTGAAAAGATTGAAAAAAAAACAAATTGATGAGAGATTAAGGAAATATGAAAAACTGCAAGGTATAAGAGAGAATAATATAATAAATTAATTGATATAAAAGATTAAAAAAGACAAAAAAATTAAAAAATGGATAGAAGAAAAATAAAAATTGGTAAAATATAAAAAAATGACCTTATATGTAATAGAAAAAGAAAATAAAATACTTTTAAAATATTAATATTTTAAAATTTAAATATAAAGTCGGGACGGGGACGGGACCGAGGTCGGGGTGGGGATTGCATTACTCATCCCCGCCCCCGCCCCGACTTTTTAAAGCGGGGAAAACCTGAACCGTCCCCGCCCCCGGTCAACTCGGGTTTTCCCCGTCAAACTCGGGGCGGGGGCGGGTCGGTCCCCACGAGGACGGGTTTAATTATCATCCCTACACCCAACTCACCACTCCGTGAGTTTATCCGAATTGTGAAATTTATGATTCACCATAAAATGAGCTGAAGCCGGAACTAACCTATTTTTCAGTTTAACGCGTGATGATGCATCAAATGGATGTAAAATCTACATTTTTAAATGGTGAATTGAAAGAAAAAATGTATGTTATTGAATGGTGAATTGAAAGAATAAATTTATGTTATACAACCACTAGGTTGTGATTACTAGAGAAGAACGTAACCTTCTTAGATTAAAGAAGGTGTTGTATGACTTGAAATAGATCCTAAACCACAAAAATAAATGGTTGTCTTCCATAACAATAGGCTTGAAATAGATCATGAACCACAAAAATAGATGGTTGTCTTCCATAATAAGTATTGTTGAAGTGTGAAATTGAGTATAAGATTTACTTGAAGATCAAAAAAGATAATGTGTTAATTGTTTACTTATATGTTGATGATTGATTGATTATAGTGAGTAAAATTACTTCGATTATCAAATGCAAAAGAATGTGTTTTGATTTACCAAAGTAAATATGCTAAAATACGTACAATGAAGAAGTTTAGAATGAGTGAGTGTAGTGTGACAATTAATTTTGAGATATATTAAACGGACAATTGATTTTGTTATTATACTATCAAATGCTACACAGAATGAAGAAAGTTAATTGGATATTATGATTCTGACTAGATTGGAGATAAAGTTGTTTTAGAAACACATTAAGTTATGTATTCTTATCGAGAAAAATAACTGATTTTATGATGTTCGAAGTTATAACTTGTGGATAGAGAATTTGGTAAATCGAGTCAATGGAAGATTATGATACTGAATATTAACAATAAGTCAATCATCAATTTAATGAAAAATTTAATTTATCATGGGAAGTAAATAAATCGGATTGAGATTTTATTTCATCATAAATAAATAAAGTAAAAAAGAAAAAGTTAAAAGTTGAACATTGTAGCACAAAAAAAGCCGCTAACATTTATTATGACAAAACATTTGAATAATTAAAAGTATGAAGAATTAAGACAAAATAAATATTAAATTGATGATTGAATTTGGGATTATGTTAAATGATAATTGAGGTTGTTTAAGTTAAGTTAATTAGCGTAACAAACATCAATAATTACTTCTATAATATTTAAATAATTTGATTATATAATTCTTGTAAGTTTTATGATAACTAATAACACATTCTTGTTTTGCACCTATGAACTCCTCTTATCATATAAATTACATATTATAAAATTATAAATATGGTATCATGAATACGAATATATTATGAACAACTCTTTTTCTTTATATATATATATATAGTATATTATTAATATCTCTTATTTTATAAACCTCTCTAGTTTGTAACTCTGTAGTTTTGTTTGTAAGTTGGGTGTTACTCTTAATCTGTACATTCTTGTGTTATAAATATCTTTTATTTTGTACATTTTTTTTTTATAAATATCTACATCTTATATTTTGTATGTTCTGATTCCCTTAATTTGTGTCTTACATGTTATAAAATCTATTTGGACGAAAAGAAATATTAAATGAATTGGGATATGGATGGAGATTCAACATATGAACTGACCATATTAACAAAAATAATTTGTATTGGAAGTAATTGAAAATATAGCAGTCATTTTAGGTGGTGTTATAAGAATAAAAAATAAATTTTGTTTCAATTTAAATTAATAGAAGATTAATCAAATTAACAATAAAAACAAATTTTGTTGTTTCAATGTAGACCTATATTTATTGTTTTAACTTACCTCTACAAGCAAATATACACCAGGATCATGTCAAAGAATTTAAAGTGCATATTTTTTTTATATAATTAAAAAAACTTTCTTTTCCCTTCCACTTATTTGTAGATAGATGATCAATAAAATGCTTTTCATAGTAACAAACCAAACAATACATTTACTTTCAAATTTAGTTCTTAAAAATATTCAAAACCTAAGTTTCGAGACTGAAAAAGTTTGATTCATGTGCAAATAGGAATAAAAAAAGTATGAGACCAAATTAAATCAAACTAAGTTTGATGGATAAAAAAAAAATCATAGCACCATTGTCTTACGTAAGACAAACAAAGAAGGAAAAAAAAACATTCTTGTCTAATAATTTCCTTCGTTATATTTTTGGGTTTGTTCTCGAATACATATATTTGATTTGATCTCATATCCATTTTCCCATATTACACGATTTTCATATTACAAGATTTTACTATTTAAGTATGCACGAATGAAATTAAGAAATTCTAAAAAAAAAAAAGAACATGGCAGTAAATAAAATTATAAAGACTATTAATATTTTATTTATGAACACAAATGTTTAGGATACTACTGTTAACATGGGTTTTAATTTGATTTAACACATATTTGAGCAGTCTTAGATTTAATTTTTTTTTCTATATAGATGATCGGATAAAATGAACTCAATTTATTCAACTGACGAGTTGAATTTGGTTAACCCATAATTCATTTTAAAATTTAAAAATTATTATAATAATTTAATAATTTTTTATTATTCTAATAAAAAAATTCATTCATTATTCTATTAAAAAAAGAATAAAGATAAAAAAAGGAAGTAAAATCAAGTAAAAAAAAAATAAAAACAATCTGTCATTATTCTAATAAAAAAACTATTAATATTTATATTATTCAATAAAAAAAATAATGTTCACAAGATTCCCACTAAAATAGGGTTAGAATTTTTTAAATGACTCGATTATTATGGTCTCAGTTGCTTATAAGCAACTGTGCTTATAAGAAACTGCGTTAGAGTAATCCGACGTGACAATAATAATTTTGAAAAGTTAAACACCGCATCTTGTTGAAACAACGTTCCTAAAAGTTATTTTTCTCCAATTTTTTTAGTTTGTTCTCGCGGTTCTCACCAACAGAATTCAATAAATCAGAGAATATAACAAATCAGAGAGGAATGCTCACCGCGAGTCCCATTAAAGTCAAAAGTGGTAGTTGAATAGTGAGTTGTTTATAAAAACCCACAATTTAAGTGAATTTATAAAAATTTAGAAAGAATTGCTGAAATATGATGTGGTACTGTTAGTCTTACTTAAGAATCCAAGTAAGAACCTACTGTTAGAGATGCTCTAAGATGAATACGTAACACCGTATAAAATCAATCTTAACTTTAAATAACTTTTATTTCAACTTATTAATTTAGTCCATTATATGTGTAGAGATAATCCATCAATACATCTATTTTTATAAGAAATTATAGATTTTTTTTCAATATTATTAGTCTTACCTCTTCAAATTAATTGTTTATGTAAAATCATTCAAAATTGAAGTTAAAAAAAATCATATTTAATTTACATTTCTTTAAACACTAAAAACAATTATTAGCAACGACAAACACACTCACAGGTATACTGAGCTAAACAATTAGTATTTAAGATTGTGTGTGCACATTGGTAGAATAAATAATATGTGTAACAATATTTTTTGTATTGTCCGTATTTGTTAGCAAATCAAACCCAGAGTGATATATATTTATATTTATCTTCCAAAATATCATAAAATTTGTACTATCTTTCCTTCTTTACAAGGCTAGGTTTCATAATATATATATATATATATATATATATATATATATATATATATATATAGTTTGGTTTGCTAATTAGAAAATTTTATTAACAGTAAGGATAAAACTAAAACTTGTGATGTTTAGAACCACAAGAATGACATTTAAAAAAAAAAAAATAACTAACAGAAAAACTAATATAAAGGAAAGGAGAGAATTTTACAAAAGAGATTAGATTAAAATTTTTGTTTCAAAAGAATAAGAGGTTAAATAAGAATTGTGATATTACAAGTGACTAAAAGTATATTTAATTCATATATATATATATATGAACGTCAAAGCGACATGCAAAACTTTGACTAATATGGCAAAAATGATTCCTCTTGCAATACCTGTTTTATTATTAATAATAACATATTTCCTTGCAAGGAACCATCATCTCTTAAAAAAAAGATTCCATAACTATAATAAAGTTGTTCAACGTTAGGGTCAACTTCAACTTTTTGTTCCCTCGTCACTTTTATTGAAAACATGTAAGTTTAAATTTCTAAATGAAAATTTCTATTTCTCGACAATATATAATGGTTTTATTTAGTTAGCTTGCAGTTGAGTTTGGGAGTGTTCCCATCCAAAAACATGAAGTTTAAGTTGTTCCTTTGCCAAATTGGTCATTATGTTTTGTCATCGAAACAAATTATTGTTCTGTAGACAAATTATTCCTCATGCTATGGTTAATTTAGAAGGGTAGGAATGAAGCACTATTTAATAACCACAGTCCAATCTCATGTTATTATTTCCAAAAATATGATGAGAGCTCGTCTGAACCAGGTCGGCCTCCACGATGATGAGAGTTGCTTAAGATATCGTATTTGGTTTTCTGAGTTCGAGTCAGGACCCACCCACCGGCATGCATTCTTTCCTCTTAGCAGATTTGCAGCGTATTTCTATCCAAAAATTGTAATTTTCTAGTGTTGCTGTTTTTTAATTCGTTCCAATAGAAAATTAGATCTCTATTTTGAACTATTGAAATAACATTTGATGCATTCCTGATTGAATAATACGTGATGCATTTACTGTCTCAAAATAGGTACTGGCAGATAACATCCGATAAGATTTTAACACTTTTAGAGATACCTCAAACGTGTTACAATATGGATTCATCATTACCTCTAAGGAAAATTTAAATGTTTGACATGGTAGAAAATTGACATGAAGAACGTTTGTTCAAAAGGACCAAAAAGTATTGCAAGTTTGGTTAAAGATATGGTAGTACACAGACGTTATCCCCGAAAGCACCCTTAGCCATCTAACAAGTTGCTCTGGAAGCTAGAAACCCACCCAACCCAGCTTCCCTTATAGTACACAAAAGAACTGCAAAATTACTATAATTTTCTACAGAATGCCCTATGAACTGAAGACAATAGCTCTAGTGGACTTGAGAGGACAAAATGCCTACTCACACTTGATGGATCGATAAATGTGGCGGACAAAGAGTAAAGCAGCACGGAATCCAACAGTTCCCAGCATCAAGAAGAAACCATAGCATATACAGGCCATGTATCCGAAGAAAAATGAGGTCTGCATGAATCCAGACATGTCGGAGCGTGCATAGTAATAATACAGACAGTAGGCATAGATAAATAACCCAGTTGAACCACCGCATAAGAATGACCTGTAAGGAAAATAGCAACACATAGGTCAAGTGACTTAATCAAACTCCATGTGATCAATTTTGAAAATGCAAATCCCAAAAGTAAAAAATGTCAAAATAATATAATATTGAACAAAGAGATGTACATAAAGCAACAAAACTTGCACTACTCAATCCAATTTTTCCCCTAAAGAATAGTAACATCAACATAAATGTATAAAGAAACACATAAAACCATGAAAGTAAGAATATTTATCCATGCCTGTTCATGAGTCAGACACCCAACAAACCATCAATAAAGAATTAGCAAATTCATAAATGAAGTCCTAAATAAGTTTCTCTTATCATATGAAATTTTGGACAAGTGTTTGGTTAAGCTTTATAAATCGGAGTAAACTCTTAACCTTAATGTAAAATTTATCAAAATAAGCTCATATGATAAGCTCTTACTTAATAAGCACCTAACTAAATTGTTTGCACAAGCCACCGACTACAGATCATCATGCATCAGTTATATCATCCAGGAAACTAGCAGCTAATTAAGAAATCAGTTGACATCTCATATCATATTTACTAACTAGCTACAAGGAATAAAAACACCAAGCCATGAGAAACAACAATGAAATGTGATAAATAGTAGTTTCATACCTCCACCACCACTCATGATCCTCAGCAGCAAGCTGGAAGTATGTCAATGCCACCGTAATGAAAGCAGTAACAATCAAGAGAATGATGAAGACAATGAACAGGATGCTGTAGATGGTGTAAATTCTGTGGCCCCAAACACTGGCAAATATATAGTAAAGCTCAATGTATATAGCACTAAACGGCAAAAATCCTGCCATTGCCATCTGAGGAATCGATCCCCGATACCATGGCAAAGGTGGAATCTCCCTTGGATATTTAGTTGTGCGAACAGGAGCTTGAAATTCAGTCTTGCTATTCTTCCCAGCAATCCCTCCCAATACAAGCAAAGGAGATGTAACAAGTGTCCATATGAGAACTATAACAACAATTGTCCCAAATGGGAGGGCAGCAGTAGCCTTGTAAGCAATTGCAACAGTGTTCAAAAAGCAGAATGTCAAAAACAGAGGCCCACAGAAAAGACATCCTGTCAACAGCAGATTCCTAACCTGTCATAACAAAATCAAGAGAATAAAACCACTATGCTCTGAAAACAAATGCAACTTTAATGAAAACATAACCAAATAGTAGAATAAAAAATTCACAAGCAAATACCCAGTTTGTTCCTTCCAACTGACAATAGAATGAAGTTGCAGTATACCCAGCAATCCCTGAAGTAAGTGCATATATGACAACAAGTGCAGTAAACAGTGCTCCTCGATTGTATGGATAAAACACACCAACAAGTGCCAATATGAATATGAACACAGTACTGCAAACCACACATAGTTGTAACTCATTCAGATAGATAATAAATAAACTATCACAATTTAATTTTCCCAAAATAATCTTCATTGATAGACACATTTAAAGCAAGCAAGCGCAAACTCACAGGATAAACAACTGAGTACCAGATCCAAGCGCAGCTGCAAATAGAGACTTAAACTTGGGAAACCTAAAGACATCCCCGTGGATATATTTCCAGCCAGTCTCTTCTTGATCCTCTGCAGCCTCCTCATCATGTGCATACCTATTCGCAATTCAAACAAAAGCAATATCCATAATTCATCCCATACAAATAAACAAACAACCAAGTCTAGCCAAGCCAAAGCTTTTTAGGTCTCCACAATTACAATTGTTTTATCCGCAATGCAAGGACAGTAACAAAATTGCGGTAGAAATTGTGGCTACATTTGTCTCCAATCTCCCATTATATCAAGTATCATCACAATAAAACCGTGACTGCAATTGTGGTTACATTGATCCACAATACCAATGATTGCAATTAAATCATGACATTTGTCCACACTTTCCTGCAATATCAAGGATTGGAAAACTGTGACAGCAATTGAAGCTGCAATTTCGTGCAATAACAATGATTGCAACAAAACCACGAGAGCAAATGTGGTCACATTTGTCTAATAGAATTCCATGCAATACCAAATATCATGACAAAACTGAGACAGCAATTTAAAACCTCTACACATAGAAAGAACTAATTTCACGTACTTGACAAAATCATTCTTTAGCACCCTCATTAAAATGGTGGCAAGGAACCCGGTCAAGAGCAGCACCGTAACACATGAATTGATGATTGAGAACCAGTGGATTTCCAAATGATGTGGCAACGATGACGACTGTGAGTACTTATCCATCCTCTTCTCAAAGGGTGTGTTGGTCTCCTTCCACTTCACTGTATACAGAAACTCCGCATCCACCTCAGCATCCTCAGTGAGATCCACCAGGGCATTGGGATCAGTGCGTACATTGATCTCGATGACTCTGTCCTTGTTGTAGAATACATCAAAGTGAATGTGCTTATACAGGAAGTACCTATACTCACTAGGGTCCTTCCCTTCCTTGTCCACTTTCCCAATGAACCCCCAGATAGGAAGGTCATCGTAGTACATCTGGAAGTAGTAGTCCTTACGGACAGCAGATCTGAACCGCGCGACATCCTCTTTGGATAGCTTAGGCTGGCAAACAGAAATCGACTCCTTGTCACGCTGAAATTCTAGCTTGTATGGGGCGCTAACCAATCGGTCCCCATTCAGCACCTCCCCAAGCGCCTCCTTCTTTTCTTTCAAATCATCTGGCAAGTAATCACAAATCATAAATTAATAAATAAATGAAACCAAACAACCATATATACATACCACCAAGCAAGTGAATCAACTAATACAAGTTTGTTCCAATCTAACCAAATTTTAGTCATCTAAACCAATGTTCTGAAATTCGAATCCGTCAGACCATATGTCACGAATTTAAGTCATCTAAACTAATGGTCTCAAATTTAAGTCATCCTAACCAGATGTCAAGAATTTGAATCAGCTTAACCAAATGTATCAGATTCAAGTCAGGTCCCAAATTTGAGTCATCTTAACAAGATATCGTGAATTTGAGTCATCTTAACTAGATATCATGAATTCAAATCAGTTTAACCATGTGTCTCAAATTCATATCAGCTTAACCATATGTCTCATATTCAAACAAATTTTTTTAACTGATTGTCTCGAATTCAAGTAAGCTTAACCATTGCTATAAAATTCCAGTCACTGTAACCAGTACTCCCGAATTCGAGCGAGTTTAACCCGTGGTCAACTGATGTCTCGAATTCAAATATAGAGTCCAACAATACTGTCTCCCAAAAACATTACATATAAAAAAATAGATAGAAACGAACCTGGAGGACAGAAAGGAAGGTCGAAATAACGGTAGGTTTCGCTGAGAAAAAAAAAACGAAAATAATAAACGACAACAACAATAACAATAATAATAAGAGAAGAAAAAACGAAGGGAATGCAATGGAAGGGTTGGAGATCTGAGGTACCTAGGGTTGTGGAAGGGGCCAACTTTGTTGGCGTAGAGAGGGACGACCTCGCCTTCTTTGTAGCGGTGATCTGAGGAGTCAGATCTGACGGCTGAGAACGCGGCGAAGGCGGTTAGGAGGAGGAAGAAGAAGGAGGAAGAGGAAGGGAAGAGGTTCTTCATTGGGAAGAGGTTTGGATCTCGAAACCCAACCCCACCGACGAAGAAGAGAAGAGACGAAGGAGAAGAGGTGCGATTTGAGTGTTAATAAACAGAAAACGAATGAATCAAGAGTATGAAGTGACGTAGACTCACCGCCACTCTGTAACGTTTGATGTTTTACCTCACGCACACAATTCTTCCTTCTTTTTTTCTTTTCATTCTTTCATTATTTTTGTTCGTGGTTTTTCGCTGAAATGGTGCTTTAACAAACCATTCTTCTTGTTGCGAGTTTGGTACACTCTTTGTTTTTTGTTATATTTTGACTCGCTTCATGCTTACTCAAATTCGGTGGGACTACGATTCAATTACTTTTAGTTGCTACATTTTAATGGATAAATAAATTGCCTCAAATTATAAACTTGCTATTTTTATTATTAAGAGGGAAATTATAAAATTATTATTATTATTGAGTTTTTTTTTGTTACCGTGAAAGTTTTGGTATGGGAATGGGAGAGTGAGTGAGTGATGGGGTGGGAATCTTAGTCAACTACTTGGGGCACGACCACGAACGAGATTTAAAATCAAACGAGATCTGGTTTTGGATCCAAGTTTTGCCCAAGACGCGCGTAGATAAGCGCGTATGTGGCAAAAATAAAATAAAATAACACAATAAATAAAAGAAGAGTAAGTGAAAATCTCTCAATACAATATATTTTGTTTTTTTACTATTAATTATTGTGAGAAAAAACATTTTTTGTAAGGAAAAATTAAATTTATTTTAAGTTTTCGCTTTTTTCTAGATTCTGAAAAGTTTTTTTTTATAATAGTAAATAATTATATTAAAACATTTAAAACAAAAAAAGAGGACGTTTGATAGAAGATTGTTATTTTGTCAGAAATATGAAGTTAGAACATTTTTCGTGTTTGTTCGATCTTTGGACGGAAACTGGAAATTACTTTTTATTTGATTTTTCAACAAAAACATTTTCATATGAAATATGAGAATTTAAATTTCCTGATAAATTCTTTTTCTGTGATGCCAATAACCTCTAAATGAAAATGAAGACTAATTAACTTATTCTCAATATAAAACTATGCAAACGTTCATTAAACCAGGAGTAACACTTAAATAATCATAATTTTTAACATTGTTCAGCTGATAATAATTAAAAATGCATTGTAATATTATTTATTTATTTTTATTTAGAATCCTAATAACTAAAATTTGTTTATAAATGTTTATGTGAGATGTGCATTTATAATTCTAATATGTCTTGAAAAATCATGTTGATAGTTTAGAAACGTATAATATTGGTAAAACGAAATTAGTTATTCAATTATACTAATTATTGTTTATTAAAATTTAATATCAAAATTATCCATCTAACAAAATGGACAAATTTTATCATTGGAGATTTCAACATTTCCAAACAGTTGATCACAAGTGAACTTGTGATATTCACATGTGTGACAATAAAAAATAAGATGTAACATGTTATATCCTCAAAGAATTGTAATAAGACATAAGAAAAATAGTGTGATTACATTAGGATATAGATCATTTACATACATTAATGTTTGTAACCTCTTTCAATATCCATATAATCCTATCAATGCTTCAAAACTTATGGAAGCATATATTACTTTTTTAAAATGACCATCACAATCACAAATATGCATAAATTATATTTAAATATATTTTTTTAATTTGAGTTAGTGAGTTGAAGTAGATAAATTTGTTCATAATTTTTGGATAATTATACGACGGTGTTATTTGAGATAAAATAGTTATCTAATAAAATAAGTAGAATTTTAAACACTACATTGAAAATAATTTCATTAATTTTTCATCTCCTCTCACTATTGTTTATATTATCGAGTATAATTTTACATTTTAGTTCTGTTCGCTAGAAAAACACAAATATAGTAATAAAATAATTGAAAATTAAAAAAAATATCCCCATTTAATTATTTCACAAAATAAATATTAACATCTTATTAACGTCAGTTGATTTCTTTTTATTTCCACAATAATTAAATCTAAAACCCTATTTGAAAAACAAATTAATTAAATTGACAGATAAAAATAACGAATACAAATTTATATTATAGGTTGAAAAACTTATTTTATTATGTTTTTAATCACTAAAATTTACAATTTTAATCCCTTAAAATTGTAAAAAATGATTTTTAGTCTTTTAAATTTAGTTTTTAAAGACTAATTAAGTGCTTTTATTAAAAAGAGTTTTCGCACACAAATCCCACCATAATTTAGCAAGTAAGAATAATAGAATGTTTGTATTTTGGTTAAGAAAGCACCAAAGTCCAAATCATGATTTAACCAGAAGATTAACATGTATTTTTATAAACTTAGAATGAATCGTGTTTCCTCAATAAATTCCAAAATAAGTTATAAATAACAATAATTTGCCCCAAAGCCAACAGTAGAAATACAACTTATTATACTTATTTATTCATCTTTTCTTCAACTAATTTGTAAAAATCATTGAATTTAGACACTTTAAATAAAGTACGTAAATTGATTTTACTTTACCCGATAAATTAATTTTTTTTCTATACATAAATCCTTTTTAAAAACTCTACCCAAAAATCATACATAAGTATAATACGATAATATTATAAAATATTTACAAATATATTTTTTATTTTATTAAATCAATTTTGTTTGATTTAATAGATATTTCGATATTTTTTAAATAATATCAAAATATAGTTTAGTAATGTAAAACATTATTCATTAACGAAGTTAATAATCTATTATCGAATCATTATATAATAATATTGTAATTTTGAGACAATTTATAAGAAAAACAATCTTACATGAAAGTTTCTTCTTCTAAATTTTTGGGTTTAGGGTTCTGTTTGAATAACGAATTGCAGTGGGTCTGGACTGGACCAAACCTTAGTTGAACACATGCGTGGCAGATGTAAGAAGTAATAGCATAGGAGAACAAGAACGGGAAACATCGTCGTTTTGTCGTATCCGTTGGATCTTATTGTTATATATATATATATATATTTATTTAAACCTACAAAATACTATAGTACTATTGGACCAATTTAATTTTGGCCGGCGTTAAATTGATGGTGATTGCATTTCTATTTTAAATTATTTTTTCATGACTGCAATAAATAATAAATATCAAGTGATATAATGCTACCTTTTTAAAAATTATGCTAATACTTTTATAATTTAGTGTAGAAATGTTTACACTATGGACATAAAATTCAATTTAAAAAATCTAACAATTTTTTTGGTGTATACTCTCTTCATATATATATATATATTATGATTTAATTATAAATACGACAAGTTTACTAATTTCTTAATAATTATTTTAAAAATTATACATATAATATTTTAATTAATTAAAAATAAAAAAGTGATAATACAATAAATTTAAACTTTTTAATTTATTTTTAAAAAACAACTATAATGGACGAACGTTTAAATACTTGATCAAACGGCAGAAACTGTTGCCACTTGTGCCGATTTAATTTTAAAATAATATAAAATAATTAATAATAGAAAAACACTAAAAACTTAAACATTTTATTAGAGTTGAAAGTTAAAAGAAGTCCCATCTAAAAATATTTTATCTTATTATTATATTAATTTTAGGTATCAATAATATCAATAAATAACTATAATTCATATTAAGATCATCGTGATAACCGAAATCACAACATCAATGACATATCAACCATGGTATAAAATACTATAAACTTGGCTCAGTTAAACATGTAGTTCAACTCCCAAAACTTTTTTTTATGGAATTAATCAACATTTTTCTATTTGAATATTAAATATATTGCTACATTACGTTAAATATTGGGATTTGTTTTTTAATGTCAACTGTAAAATTTAATGGATTAAAACAAAATAACTTTCTACAAAAACATCCACAATCTTAAAAAAGTTATTTTATTTACTATATTATTTTATATTTTTAGTTTAGTTTACATTTAAGGCAATCATAAGTTTCAATTTATAAGTATGTTTCAAAGTGTGTACTCTGATTGATGGTTTTAAATATGAATTCTATATCCAATTGTGTAAATATTCTGTAACGCATAATAATTATACTCAATTTAAACAAGAATATCTTAAATAAAAAATAAATATAATCTCTAAAAAAATTTTTAGACAGTGTACAATTTTTTTACTACCAAAATATTTTACAGAACCTTTGTTTTGAAAATGATAATTAGGAGAAAATAAGTGATTAGTTAAAAAAAAAGGTTTTAAGAATATATAAACTATGGATATCAGTAGCAGTGGGACAGGTGTACAGGCTGCACAAACACAAATTCAAATATGCCTTTTGCATGCAAGATTTGGGTTAACAACTTAAATTAACCTCAAAAAAGTTAAACTGAATTAAAATGAGAAAAGAAAAAACATATAAAATATTTAGAAGCAATACAACACAAACACATATAGCTTTGGTCCACCACCATCACCATTCACCACATCAATTCATCAGCAGAGGTAGCAGGGGGAAGGAAGGGACATGCGAACGCAGCGTACCCTCTAAACCCTTTACACGCAAAACAACAAATAACACACCCTCTGCTCCCAGGTGCTTTTTCTATGTTTTTTTTTTTTTTTAATTGTTTTCAAATTCTCATTCATTTGCCGTTTCTTTGGGACCCCATTTTCCCCTTTCGTTCCAGCAGAGGCTGGAAATTCGTCCTGGAACGTAAATGCCAGATCCCGATGGCAATTGGCAATTGGGGTTTCCTCTGAAAAATCCCCACTTTGCAAAAACCTTTCTTTTTTGTTTTTATCTTCTGTTTGGTAAAAATTAGTGCTATCCTTCTCGTTGATTGGTTCTGGGTGTTTGGGGTTTTCTGTAGGGGCTTTGGATCGGTGATTGGGAAAATCTCGAGAATCTTTGTTGTTTGCGGTATTTTCTGGGAGCATCTCTCCTAGGTTTCGTTGTTTTCAAGGAAAAAAAAAGTTGACAAATTTCTCGGCTTGGTTGCTGAAGATTTTTTGTTCTGGAGGAAACAAGCATTTATGCTTGTGGTTTTGTTTCGGTTTTCTGTTTTATTCAGGTATACAAGCACAAAGGTGGCATAATGCCACCACTTGGCTATGCTTGATACGAGGTAAGCTTTTCAATCCTCTTCAACATGGTCATTTTTTTTTCTTTTAATGGTTGTCATGGAAATATGTATTGTCTTTTTATTTTTTTAAAGTCTTTATTTGGAATGAAAGCTCATTTTTGTTTTGCTTCTTCCTTTTCCCCCCCTGAAGCTTGTTGTGTGCTTTTGTTTGTTGGGTAGAGTTTAGGTTGGCAGGAGCTTGAGAATGGCAGACACAAATTCTGTTGAAGTGATTTTGGATTTTCTGAGGAGGAACAGGTTCACCCGAGCTGAGGCGGCTTTGCGTAGTGAGCTCAGTAACTGTTCTGATGTGAATGGTTTCTTGCAGAAGCTTACATTGGAAGAAAAGGACTCATGTGGCGGGTTAAAGAATGATAAGGGGAAGCCTGTAGTAGAAAATCATGGGTTGGATTCTCGTGACAGTGTTGAAGTTTCTAAAGAACTGATTGTGAAGGAAATAGAATGTGGGACTGGTAGAAATGCTGCAGAAAGCAAATGGAAAACTGTTGCTCCCACAGGGGAAAGGAATAAGTCTAATGAGGTGGTTGGGACGAGTGAAAAAAACTTTACTTTCTCAAAGAGATCGGAGGACAGTGTTCTTGATTTGTACTCATGGAAGTTTAATCTCAGTAACGGTCCTGCGGAGCCTTTCCAAAACGATGGTGGAAGTAGGCCCAATATTGCTTTGAAGGCCCCCGTATCTCAACAATCGAAGTATCAAACTATTGAAGCTCTTGATGCAACCAACAGTACGGTGAAATCTGGGGAGGCAAATAATGTGCCTGCTGAAAAAACAGCCTTGTGGCTTGGAAGTAGTGGTAAGTCCTCTACGCAACCAAAGTATGACCTTATGCAGAGCAAAGAACCTACGGATCTTGATCGGCAACTCAAATTTAATGCTTCATCTCTTAAAGAGAACTTGACAGATAATCTCTTGTCAAGAACTGATGAGAATGTGAATTCATCTACAGACCTGTGGAAAGATTGTTCGATCAAGACTGTTTTCCCTTTCTCAAAGGGAGATGTGTCTACAAGCTACAACGGTTCAACCTATTCTGACAGACAAGAGGAGAAGAAAAGGACAGAAAACAGTGATGTTATGGCATCAATAAAAGAGCAAGTGGATGAAGTGGGAAGAGCTCTTTACTTTGGAAAGTTGCAAGGAAGTTCTGGTAGCTTAAGTTTTCCTCTTGCACAGGAGAAACAAAAGGAAGAGTTTCCTAGGCTTCCTCCTGTAAAAATCAAGTCAGAAGATAAGCCCTTGACTTTTAATTGGGGAGATAAGGTTGAATGTGATGGACTGGCTATGAAACTCACTGGTGCTGACAACTCCATACTTATTGGGTCATATTTGGATGTCCCTATTGGACAAGACATTAAAACTACAGGTTACCATTTTACATACATTGTTAAATTATTAAAGTATATGCATATGCCCTCAACTTTTTTGGCATTTTAATTAGTTGTTTACTCTTTGGGGTCAAATTTGCTGTTTCATTTGTTTGTCACCTGATGGTTTTGCATGTTTAGTGGAAATTTTCCTCGTTTATGGCTTGTATATGTTCCTTTAAGAGTGTTTGATAGGTCTGATATCTCTGCTGAATTGAATATACCTCTTATTAATATGAATTGACGTATCTATGAGATAGTACAAAATTTCCTCGCACAGTGTAATGACAATACACTTTACAGAATACACTTTACAGCTGGAAGCAATCTTCCCAATCCTACCCTTTCTCTCTCCAATCGAGAAAACTCCTTTCCTTCTTTTCTTTTTCCTCCCTTTCCTCGGCCTTTCTCCGACGAGACTTATATACTAAGTCCGTTTCGCCTAAAAAAATACAACGCCAACTGTTTTTATTTATTTATTCTATTTATTTTATTTTTTTATTAACTCGTTTTTTCTCTCCTTTTATATTTTAACCTATATCTATCATTACTCCCCCGTAAGCTTCACCTTGTCCTCAAGGTGAAATGTAGGAAATTCCCGGGATATAACTTCGACTAATTCCCAACTACTCTCCGTAGGTGGAAGATCTTTCCATTGGATGAGGGCTTCCATCTTTCCTTGACTTGTTGGTTCGTGTGTCCAGTAATTGAGCTGGTAACATAATTAATTCATGATCTTTTGTTAATGAAGTCTGGTAATGGTTGAGGATCCGTCGATGGCTGAATGGTTTTCTTTAACGATGAAACATGAAATACTTGGATGTATTTTCGCTGTGTGGAGGTAATTCCAATTTGTAGGCAACCTGTCCAATTCTATCAATCACCTGGTAAGGGCCATAAAATCGCGGAGCTAACTTCTCATTTGGGCGCTTAGCCAAGGATTTAAGCCTATAAGGTTGTAGCTTCAAATATACCCAATCTCCCACTTGATACTCAACATCCCTACGATGTTTATTGGCCTGAACTTTGTTTTGATTTTGAGCCTTAGCTAGGTTCGCTTTTAACTCCTTAAGAATGTCATCCCGCTCCTGTTGTAGTTGATTAACGCTGTCAATCTTTGAAGGAATTGTAGATCCTTTCAACAACAAGGGTGGGTCACGGCCATAAAGGGCTTTGAAGGGAGTCATTCTAGCGGAAGCATTGTAGTTGGTATTAAACCAAAATTCAGCCCATGGAAGCCATTGTGGCCATTTCTTAGGTTGTGTTCCTGTCATGCAACGAAGATATGTCTCGAGACAACGGTTGACTACTTCGGTTTGGCCATCGGTTTGGGGATGGTAAGCTGTACTAAACTTTAATTTGGTCCCAGCTTGTCGAAATAATTCCTTCCAAAATTTGCTTAGGAAAAGTTGATCTCTATCTGAAATGATTGTAGAAGGAAACCCGTGAAGTTTAACTACTTCTTTCAAAAAAACCTGAGCTACATCTGCTGCAGTAAAAGGATGTGCCATGGAAAAGAAATGGGCATATTTGGTAAGTCGATCAACTACAACAAATATAGTGTCTTTCCCTTGAACTTTAGGCAATCCCCCTATAAAGTCCATTGAAATATCAGACCAAACTTGAGTGGGTATAGGGAGAGGTTGCAGTAACCCTGTTGGAGCCAACGTGTCCGCTTTATTTCTCTGACATTCTGCGCATAGGGTCACAAAGTCCTTAATGTCTTTCTTCATTCCCTCCCAATATACCACTCCTGCCACCCTTTTAAATGTTCGGAAAAATCCACTGTGCCCCCCCAATGGAGATTCATGCAAATCTTTAATTATAATAGGAATACGTGAGTACGTGCGTGGTAAAACCAGTTTGTCCATATAGAAAAGTTTTCCTTTTACCCATTTGTAACCCTTACGGGATGTTGAATCTACTAACAAGTCTTGAATTATGGAAGTGAGTTTGGAATCTTGTTGCATCTGATCTTACCAATCTTCCCATTCCTCACTTTGGAGTGTAGACAAAGATAAAAAATATCCTTTTCTTGATAATGCATCTGCCATCTGAATTTTCCTTTCTTGCGCGATATTGGATCTCAAAATCATATCCAATCAATTTTGAAGCCCATTTAAACTGCTCCTCGATCAACAAGCGTTGGTCGATAAGAAATCGCAAACTTTTCCGATCGGTGACTACAATAAAGTGTCCTCCCATTAAGTAATGTTTTCACTTATGTATGGCCTGAACAACAGCCATGAGTTCCCGTTCATAAACTGATTTATTTTGCCCCCTTTCCGATAGTGTTTGGCTCCAAAAAGCTAATGGTCTTCCTTCTTGCATTAGGACTGCCCCTAACCCTTTACTAGATGCGTCAGTTTCCACAATAAATGGTTTAGTGAAATCTGGAACAGCCAATGTAGGAAGTTGAGTGACAGCTGATTTGAGTTGTTCAAAAGCATCTTGAGCCCCTTTATTCCAATGAAACCCATCCTTAGTCAATAATTGTGTTAATGGTTTAGCTATTTTGCCGTAGCCACTGAACAAAACGGCGATAATATCCCGTTAAACCCAAAAATCCTCGTAATGCTCGACACATCTTTCGAATAGGCCAACTCTGCATTGCCTCAATCTTCTTGGGGTCCGCTGATACTCCATTTCCGAAATAATATGGCCTAAATACTCTAGGTCTGGATTGACCAAAACTGCATTTTTTTATTCAACTTCAATTGTTGAATTTTCAATACCTTTAGGACCTCCGCTAAATGCTGCCCATGTAGTTCCACATTAGAACTGTACACTAATATGTCGTCGAAGAAAACAAGTACAAATTTCCTCAAATAGGGCTTAAGTATGGTATTCATAAGAGACTGGAAGGTTGCAGGGGCATTAGTCAGTCCAAAAGGCATGACCAAGAACTCATAATGACCCTCATGAGTTCGGAATGCAGTCTTCTCCACATCAGATTTGTGCATTAGAATTTGGTGGTACCCTGATTTCAAATCCAACTTCGAAAATATAGTTGCCCCGGCCAACTCATCCAATAATTCCTCAATTACTGGAATTGGAAACTTATTAGGAATTGTTATCTTATTCAAAGCTCTATAGTCGACACAAAAACGCCAACCCCCATCTTTCTTCTTAACCAATATTATAGGACTTGAGTAAGGACTAATGCTGGGCTTAATGATTCCAGCATGCAACATTTCTTGCACTAATCTCTCAATCTCATTCTTTTGCTGATGAGAATATTTATATGGTCTAAGATTAGGAATTGAAGCACCTTGTTGTAGGTGAATAGAATGGTCATGGCTTCGACTAGGTGGTAAGCCTTCAGATTCTTGAAAAACGTCATCATTGATGGTCAAAACCTTAAGTATTTCTGCAGGAATCTCCGGAGTAGTAAGATGTTCCAAATTCTCTTCCCATTTGAGTAAGTAGCAAGAGCCTTCTTCCTTCCATTCATGCCATAAAAATTTCAACGAAGATTGAGACCTGGACAATGTAGGATCTCCGGATATTATTTGTTACAGTATCGCCCTTACCAATAGTTAGCCTTAATCTTCCAAAATCAGCTTTAACTTCTCCCAAGCTTGATAACCATTCCAATCCCAACACAATATCAGCCCCACTCAAATCAAAAACATAAAGCTGTTGCTGCACTTGATATCCTTGTAAGTTCAGAAGAAATCCAGAGCATCTCCCTTGACAACGAATCTTGTGACCATCTCCTACTTCCACCACAAAAGAGGGTGTATCTTCTCGAAGCAACCCACATCTGGAAATGAGATTAGAAGAAATAAAATTATGAGAAGCTCCGCAATCCAATAACACGACCACTTTTTCGACCCAATGTTGCCCCAAATTTTCCACGACTTCTTAGTAGTTAACCCTGCCATCGTACATAATGATAGCCGCAAAACGGGCTCCTGCACACTTGTTCATATTGATCTCCGAGTTGGCTAAAGAGGTCTCTAATCCAGAAATTTCTTCTTCTGTCAATAACAACATATGAAGTTGTTTATTGTTGCGAGACATGATACGGACCATATTTTTCATCACAAGCGAAAACAAAGGCCTCTCTTGATTTTATCTTGTAATTACTGTCTCGGACAACTTCCCGAAAGGAGCCCCTCTAGCACGTAGCCCCCACTATTACTCGCTAGATACACTAGTAGTATCTGCATTTTTACTTTTTCCTTCATTGACCGATCCTCCTAAACTATAATTTTCTCTGGTTAAACTTCTAGTGACCGTATAAGGCTTCATAGAACCAGATTCTTTGAACGACTCCAGAATAATAAGAAACACCTTTTGATGTCACCAAAATTTTTTCTTCCACTAATTGAGCCTTACACATTAATTCTGTCGAGGTTTGAGGGTCATACAACTTGACCTCGGCTTTGATTTCATCTTTTAACCCATTTAAAAAAATACCCACCAAATAATCTTGATGTATTCCTTTTAAAAATCCCGCATATTGTTCAAATTGCTCAATGTATTCCTCCACTGTACCTTTTTGAGATAATCCAATCAAGATTTCAAAGGGATTCTTGAGCATATTTGGTTGGAATCGCCGTACCACTGCTACTTTAAAAGCTTCCCAAGATGGATGTGGATTACGGGTTTCCCACCATTGAAACCAGTTTAATGCCTTTCCTTCTAATGCTACCATGACCGCTTGCATTTTCTCCTCTTCCGAAACAGACCTTTAATCGAAAATAACGTTCCAAACGATTGGTCCATCCATACGCTTCATCTCCTACAAAAGCTGGTATATCTAGCTTCCTCCAACGTGAACCGGATAAATTTGATTCCGTAACAGGACTATTGAAATCTGGTTGACCATTTAATCCGATCCCCGACTTTTCCCCAAATCTTTCAGTTTCTTTCTCTTTACTTGCTAAAGATTCCACCACAAATGTGAGCCCTCGAATCGAGTCTTCCAAACGTTGGAGACGTTCTTGCTGCTGATTCTCAATCCGGTCCCGTTCTTGCACAAGATCTTGAAGTATCTTGTCAACGCTATCTAATCTGGCCTCCATTCTTGTATTAACCATTCCTTGATGCAGCCCTTCCCACGACCAAAGTCAAGACTACCGATACCAATTGATAGGTCCGATATCTCTGCTGAATTGAATATACCTCTTATTAATATGAATTGACGTATCTATGAGATAGTACAAAATTTCCTCGCACGAGTGTAATGACAATACACTTTACAGAATACACTTTACAGCTGGAAGCAATCTTCCCAATCCTACCCTTTCTCTCTCCAATCGAGAAAACTCCTTTTCTTCTTTTCTTTTTCCTCCCTTTCCTGACAGACTTATATACTAAGTCTGTTCTGCCTAAAAAAAAATACAACGCCAACTGTTTTTATTTATTTATTCTATTTATTTTATTTTTTTATTAACTCGTTTTTTCTCTCCTTTTATATTTTAACCTATATCTATCAGTGTTACTATTGATTTTGCTTTTTTCTGGTATTAAGTTTGTATGTTTGACAAGTTTGATACATCAAGTGTTGGTTTGGCTGCTGTTAAGGAGGGTAAAGTTTATGCTTTTGTGTGGCTATGATCTGTGTTGACTTGACTTCAATTCAATGGATGATTCGTCCAATTCATGTTATGAATTCTTTCTGAATATTTAAGTTCTCTTGAATTTTCATATGATTTGAACTCCTATTCAATGATATTTTGTTTGTGAAAAAATTAGTTTCCTTAATGTCAATGATTTCAGTTTGTTCTTGTTTCAAACTGTATTGGTTTGAACAAAGTAATTTTAACATTCAATATTATCATATTTTATCTTCTAAAACTTTTTCTTAATCCCGTATCTGTGTAAGATAGGAAGTTTTTCCCTATTTGCTAATTGGCAATGACATTAATGCTTATTATTGGGCAATATTGCCAGAACTAACATCAACAATTTGTGCATAACTTTTTCAGAGATTTTGACTTTTTCATATATGTTTCAGGTGTGAGGAAGGCTATAGGAGGCAGTTGGCTCTCTGTAAGTCAAGGAATTTCAGAGGATACATCTGATCTTGTATCAGGTTTTGCAACAATTGGGGATGGGTTGAGTGAATCAGTTGATTATCCAAATGAATATTGGGACTCTGATGAATATGATGATGATGAAGACGTTGGGTACATGAGACAACCCATTGAGGATGAGGCCTGGTTTTTGGCCCATGAAATTGATTACCCCAGTGATAATGAAAAGGGGACAGGGCATGGAAGTGTTCCAGATCCTCAAGAAAGAGGTACAGCCAAAGATGAGGAGGATGATCAATCTTTTGCTGAGGAGGATTCTTATTTCTCTGGTGAGCAATATATTCTACCAAAAAATGTTGAGCCGGTCACTTCAGACGATCCTATTGGTCTAACGATTACTGAAATTTATGGAAGAACCAATGGTGATGATGTAATGACTCAATATGACACACAACTGATGGACATTGAAGAACTGAATCTGATGCATATGGAACCTGTCAGGCAGGGCTTTGTCACTCACCAAAATGACCTCATCATGCTGGGAGATGGGAAGGCTCTGACTCATAGTGCAAGGCCACGAATTGAGGATGTGGAAGATGATCAACATGGTTCTGTTAGATCAATTGGAGTGGGGATCAACAGTGATGCTGCTGATATTGGTAGTGAAGTGCATGGAAGTTTGATTGGTGGTAGTAGTGAGGGGGATTTAGAATATTTTCGTGATCATGATATGCACAATGACTCCAAACGCACTTATCAGGATTTGGATAAGAGTTCTAGCAACAAATCAATAAAAAATAATAAGATAACTGACAAGAATGAATCAAATAAATATGTCATAGACAGTGATATGTATGCATGCTCACAGATAAAAACACATACCGATGGGAACTTTTCATTTCCCCAATCTGTTAGAGATGGCCAGATAGATCAGGCTGGTTCCAGTAAGTCTGTATGGGAGAGTAGTTGTAATGTAGATGAAACTGAAGAGTGTCTTAATGCCTTTGTGGGCTCTGATGACATGCTTTCATCTTGGAGGCGGAAGAGTATTGATTCTTCGCCTGTAAAAAGTTCTAGGGGTGAGAATAATGCTATTGTGGTAAGATCCAGAAATTCTTCTCCAACTACAGTCTCAAATTACGGGTATACGGATGGGGAACATGTCAAATTAGAAAAAGATGAAAAGAATAGTGTTGTAAGGGAAGACGATATAGGTGCATCACTAGAAGATGAAGAGGCAGCTGCTGTGCAAGAGCAGGTACGGCAAATAAAGGCCCAGGAGGAGGAATTTGAAACTTTCAATCTAAAGATTGTGCACAGGAAAAACAGGTATGAATTATGTCATTCTTACTATTTTCATTTACTTGCAAAGTAGTTGAGGGAACTAGTACTATAGATTCTTTTTATAATATATAGATAGTAGAAGTTTAAAATTATTGAAAATATGGTATTAGCTTTGTGAATCCTTCCATTATATTTTTATGTTGACAACTATTCATTCTATCTCTCTTCACTTGTGATTCCAATTATATTAATTATTAATCTTTGTGTCACATTACAGTCATCTTTGTGAAACTTTTTACACATGGACATTTGTAATTGTAACTATAAACAACATTTTCTGAACATTTAATTTTGTTAGCGATGGAAAATAAGATGACATTACCATGACAACAAATCTTCTATTTCCTTTTTCAAATCTCCTCCACTTTGTTGTGTACATCTGTTCCTTCATGAGTAGTCATAAAATTAACACTGTTAAAATGTCTGTGTATCCTTATGTTGTCTGCTTAGTTAGTAACAATATGCTTGATCATGTACTTGATTTCCCTGGACTAGTTGATAATTGTTATGAATAAATCTTGTTATTCTTACATTTTGAGAAAGAAAGCTACTGTCATGGACACAATGAAACATGCCTTTGTCATGATAGTTTTATCCAACATTTTGTTTAGATGGTGAGATTCTTCCCCCCTACCCTTGGAAAGTTATCTGCTGCTGATGTATACAGAACTTTATTAGTGTTAATTTTGTGCAATGTTAGCAGGCCACAATGAGATTGTCATTTTTGATACTATTCTTATCTTGCAAAGTTAGCATTCTTATTGTCATTGTTCCATGTTCCTTTTGACCTTTAGACATGCTATCTGAACCCATTTGTTGTTGCTCAGAACTGGCTTTGAGGAGGACAAGAATTTTCATGTTGTTTTAAATTCCGTAATAGCTGGGCGGTATCATGTCACTGAGTATCTTGGGTCTGCTGCATTTAGCAAAGCTATACAAGCTCATGACCTGCACACAGGCATGGATGTTTGTGTTAAAATTATAAAGAACAACAAAGACTTCTTTGATCAAAGCCTTGATGAGATCAAGCTTCTTAAGTATGTCAACAAGCATGATCCTTCAGACAAGTTCCACCTTCTAAGATTGTATGATTATTTCTATTATAGAGTAAGTGATTTTGGATGTGCTATTGTTTTAGTTATTATTACATTATCATATTTTCTCTCAATCATGCATATTTGTATATTTTTAGGTACTTATTTTCCCCATTCTACTATTATTAAGAGTCTACGTCACCCATGAATAGGTGTAGTTTAATTTGGATGCTAATGTTATTTAGTCACTTTCTCCATATTTGTATGCACTATGGAGGGATACCACATATGTTGATTTGTTATTTTTAACTAAAGCCACTGAACTTAATGTTTGTGTAGCTCTGGTAAGTTTCATGCTTTGCAGGATATAAAGGATAACTATCTGTAATGTCTTCATATTTTAAAAATTTAAAACATAATGGAGGGCCTAACCAAATCTATAGTCAAAGTGATATTGAGAAATATCTGTTATCATCTGAATTTACTATCCCTTGTACCGCAGGAACATTTGTTAATAGTATGTGAACTGCTTAAAGCCAACTTATATGAGTTTCATAAGTTTAACCGAGAATCAGGGGGGGAAGTGTATTTCACTATGCCGAGGTTGCAGGTTTGTGTTTATCATTTGATCTATAGTTTTCATCCCTTCTGCTAGTATAATACTGTGATTACAAACACTTTTCAACTTATATGTGCAGTCAATCACCATTCAGTGTTTGGAAGCACTGCAATTTTTGCACAGTCTTGGACTAATACATTGTGACTTGAAGCCAGAGAATATTTTGGTTAAAAGCTATAGCAGATGTGAAGTGAAGGTCATTGATCTTGGAAGTAGTTGTTTTGAGACAGATCACCTTTGTTCGTATGTTCAGTCCAGGTCTTATCGTGCTCCTGAAGTTATTTTGGGGCTTCCATATGATAAGAAGATTGATATCTGGTCACTTGGATGCATCTTGGCAGAACTTTGTACTGGCAATGTAAGAGCAATAGATGGATAATTTTATTTATTTCAAAATGGTATGAAGTTTTTCATACTTCAAGCATGCAATGATTTATGACAAATTTCATGTGGGAAGTACATAAAAAGGTGTAAAATGTTTTGTACTAGATTTTGTCGAAGTTGAATATGCCCTTAAATTAACCACATTATGGTGCTTGGTTTAGCTTTTGGAGAAATAATTGGTTTTTCTAGAAACAAGTGATCATTTTCCCAAAAGCAATATATCCCAAACATGTGCTTAAAGCAAATGCCTATACGTCTATATCTCCCTGATGATGGGATCTTTGGAACGTAATATAAACTTTATCTCTTCTATTTAAGTGCACTTTTTTTCGTTGTTAAATACGAGTACATGCATAGTTCTGTCTTTCCTCACTCAACCGTGTGTGATATAGGTTCTCTTCCAAAATGATTCTCCTGCAACATTACTTGCTCGGGTGATCGGGATCATTGGCCCAATTGATCAAAGTTTACTTGCCAAAGGACGGGATACATATAAGTACTTCACAAAAAACCATATGCTTTATGAACGGAATCAGGTGAGATTTTTATTTCTATTTTTTCCTAGTATTTGAAACATACTGGTAATGGTAAATAATCTGAAGTCTTGATGCATAATGAAATGTACCTTCTCATATGCTTGTCTTTAAAACTAGAGAGATTCCTTTAGTTTCTAATAAAGTATTTTCAATCATCTATAGTTTTACCATTTCTGAAGCTTTGACTTTTAGCTGAACTGAATAATGTCGTGTGATCCATCTTTACTGATTTCACCTAATATAGTACTTCTACCATACTGTTTATGCTCCTGCTATGCTATAATGAAATTACTGTCATTACCCTTTGCATTTTACTTTGTTGAAATATTTTGACAGTACTATTTATTAATAATACCCAGGAAAGCAACAGATTAGAATACTTGATTCCCAAAAAGACATCATTGAGGCATAGATTACCCATGGGAGACCAAGGCTTCATAGACTTTGTTGCACATTTGCTCGAGGTTAACCCAAAGAAGCGACCTTCTGCATCCGAGGCCCTGAAGCATCCATGGTTATCATACCCTTATGAACCAATATCATCTTAAAGTATTTGCAGGTTCTTTTCTCCTTTGGTGATAGTGGCAAATTACCCTAAGCCGGGTAAGTTAAGTCATTGCAACGGAAAGGCACCACCACACATGCTTGCCGCTTTTCATTATCTATTTTAGAGATGATATGGAAAGAGTTGTGCACTTCCACATTCCTGCATGATTGATGATGCATCGAAAGGAGTTTGGTTTTGTGGGTTTGATGATACGAAACTTGTCTTTCCCATGAATGATGTAATTTAGGTAGCATGTAAGATGTAATATTATTATGCTGTTGGTCTCTTTTCCTTGTTTGATCTTGTTCAAAAGGGAATCCTTGAAATATTGATTGTACATGATGTGGGATAATTCATTTAGTCATTAGTAGTATTTTTAGCATGTTTGGTTGGTTCCAAGTTGCGGATGTTATTTTTAACGTTGATCAGAAGCTAATAGGTTATAGCTTCTACGTTATTAGATCTTGCACGGGGTTTGATACCAAGTTGGAAGCACCAGTTAAAAGCAAAGCTGGTGGCAATGTGTGAGACTCACTCAACACTTGCAAATTTCCTTTATTTTGGGTTGGAAGCAACCAAAGTGTATCTTGATGGTGTCGTGTAGCTTCATTTTGCTTCAACAAAGTGTTGTCTGTGGATGGCATCTTCAGGAATGTGGTTATTAAGCATTTCGGTGCCTTTGTTTTGTTTTCAACAATAACTTCTGAAGTTGCTGTTCCTTTGTTTTGTTTTCTTGTTGTCTTCCATCATTCTTCCACCGATTTATGTGTTATTGTTTAACGTTATTTTCTTTGTAAATATTCTCTCAAGCTATATAATGTTACTTTCAATGTTTTTTTTGTTGTTGTCGACAAAAGTAACCTTGTTTAACCGTGTAAATCATCAATTTTTATAAGACTTATTTAACGAGTTTTACTCTTGATTTTGTAGTTTTTCTCCTACATTTTTTTTACTTGCACTTTGTCTTTGGACAAATAATTTAGAATTTTATGTAATTCTTGTTCGGAATTAGATCAGTAACGATATACAAGATGTTTTTTCGAGGTAAATGTAAAATATATTTGTATTTAAGTGAAAAATGATTCTAAGAATTATAAGTTTTAAGTATTTAGAGAAGAGAAAACTTAAAAAAAGAATATTTTTAGAAAGAGAATTTGTATTAATTTTACTTTATCGAATTTTGAGTTATGTTATCTAAATTTCTTTTTAATATAGTTATTCATTACTTCTATTTGGATTTTGAATCTTCTAATTATTTTTTAGTTTGAGATAATTATATGAAAACAGTATTATTTTAATCTTTTTCAGCTAAGATTTTGGAGGAGAGTTGTTTATAATTTTATCAATTTTTATATTTAAAAAAATTGAAGTTTTTTTAATAATTTATTAAATAGTTTCTTATTGATGTTAACTTAAATGAAATAATGGTTCAATTAATCTGAAAATTAAAATATTTTAAATTAAAGATTGACTCAAATGTATGAAACTTTTAAATCCGAGTAAACAAAAAAAATTAAATTGAAAAAAAAAATTAAAATTATAGTTTATCATTCAAGATTAATTGAAGAAAGTTATCATTAAATCTGATTTCTTATATTTCCTCTTTTTTTTTTCATACAAGTTTTCTGAATAGATTAACTAACTATATTCTAGTTTTGTAATATTACTTTTATATAATTCAAATAAACATATCATAAATATAGGAGTTTCGCACATGTGGTTAATACATTAAATTGAGTACCATCAAAGTTTAATTATTGACTGAACTGAAATACTTATTTTTCTTTCATCAAACTTTGCACATAAGGTGAAACCTTAGGAAATGAACGCATGATGCTCATAAATAAATAATAAAAAAAACAATAAGATTTTTTTAATTAGATAATGAAAATTTTAATCTCCAGAACATTACCCTTTTTACAAGTAGACATTTTAAATTTTATTTTTTTATTAATTCTCAAAATTTACCCCATTCACAAATAGATGTGATAAAGTTTGTTCACATTGGTAATGGATACATTTGCTAAAGTATATATTTTGTATCTACAACATCATTGATTAAACAAAATTTTTATCTTAAAAATCAATCAAAAGCATATATATTTTCCTCCCCTCAACACGTTATGTTTTGCACTCTCTTAACCCTTTTCCTCCACCAAGTTTGCCGCGTTCACCACCACGCCGCGTCCACCACCTCCACTGTGTCCACCGCCTCCACTGCCACATCCACTGTGTCCGCTACGTTGCCGGTGTCGGTTTCGAAGGTCACTCCGTCAATTTTGCAGTCTTTGCTGCTCTCAAAGATTACCTTGCGCATCTGGGCACCTTAAGGCGTGAAAATATGTCACCATAACTTAAAAAATTCGAAGAACGCCGGGTTGTGAAATTTATGCTAACCATAAAGTGAGCTTTGAGCTCGCCTATTCCTACTCCGCTGTAAGTTCCTCCCCTTTCTCTCCCTCTGTTCCCAGTCACTTCACAGAAATTCCACACATACCCAGAAATCAAAACTCCATCTTTTTCATCTACTCCTTGTTTCTGAGCCCCTTTTCTCTCCTCTCATTGCCTTCAACTCCCACACCAAAATAACAATGATGGGAATGTTTCGTAGGTACATCAATTCTCAGAAAATCCTTCTTTCTAACTGTGCGCCTACCATTATTGTAACATCTTCAGAAACAAAGTTCTTGCACAAGTTGAAACCACACTTCAGTCAACAAGTTTTTCACCCTCTCATTACTCTGCTCATTGCAAAAGGCCATCATTATCTGTTAATAATACTTCTATTCTGCACTTCATTCAATATTCCTCGTTCTTGAACTATTATATTGCTTGTTATATCCCTAACCGTCATTATTGTTTAGAAACTGTTTCCATGAATCAAGATCATAATTCTTGTGAGAGTGATGTTGATAAAGTGTATAGCTCAATGATGGAGGGTAGTGGGTTAGAAAGTGACGTTGAAAAGGTGTATAGCACTATAATGGATAATTTAATTGGATTTAACAACTTGGAAGAGGTTACTGAGGTGCTGCATAGGCTTAGATATGATGAAAAAATTGCATTTAGGTTCTTCACTTGGGCTGGTCATCAAGAGAATTATTCACATGAGCCTTGTGCTTATAATGATATGATGGACATCCTATCTAGTACTAAGTACAAGGTGAAACAGTTTCGGATAGTTTGCGATATGTTGGAATATATGAAGAGGAATAATAAGATTACCGTTCCGGTTGAAGTTCTGATGATGATTTTGAGAAATTATACTGAGAAGTATCTTACTCATGTGCAGAAGTTTGCAAAGAAGAGGAGGATAAGGGTGAAGACACAACCGGAAATAAATGCATTTAACTTGCTATTGGATGCTCTGTGCAAGTGTTGTTTGGGTGGTGTAGGGTTAGAAACCCAACTAGAGGGATGGAACTACTGGAGGAAATGATTCAACTGGGTCATAGGCCTGACAATTTCACATACAACACTGCCATTGATACATACTGCAAAGCAGGTATGATAACAGAGGCTGTGGATCTTTTCGAGTTCATGAGAACAAAAGGTTCAACTATATCTTCTCCCACTGCAAAGACTTATGCAAATATAATTGTGGCTCTTGCCCAAAATGATAGAATGGAGGAGTGTTTTAAACTTATTGGGCATATGATTTGCAGTGGTTGTCTTCCTGATGTCACAACATACAAGGAAATAATTGAGGGAATGTGTGTGTGTGTGGAAAGATAGATGAAGCTTACAAGTTCTTAGAAGAGATGCAAAACAAGGGTTACCGACCGGAAATTGTTACTTATAATTGTTTTCTCAAGGTCCTTTGTGACAATAAGAAGTCTGAGGAAGCTCTTAAACTATATGGAAGAATGATTAAATTGAGTTGCATTCCTAGTGTTCAGACTTACAACATGCTGATTTCGATGTTTTTTAAGATGGATGATCCTGATGGGGCATTTGAGACTTGGCAGGAAATGGACAACAGCGGTTGCAGACCAGACAATGACACATACTGTGTGATGATCGAGGGGCTATTTAACTGCAATAAAATGGAAGATGCTTGTTTTCTTTTTGGAAGAAGTGATAAACAAGGGAATAAAGTTGCCATATAAAAAGTTTGACTCCTTTTTGATGCAACTGTCAGTGATTGGCGATCTCCAGGCAATTCATAGGCTCTCAGAACATATGAGGAAATTCTATAATCATGGCATGGCTAGACGTCATGCACTAAGCCAGAAGCGTAAGAGCATGAGTTTAGGAGGAAGATAATAGTTATAAATTTCTTTGTTTAGTTTTTGCTACCGGTCAGGAAAATCTGAAGGGGCCAAATTAGGAGGGTTCTTGTCATGATGTAGGTCAGACAAATATTTTCTGGACGCATGACAATGTATAATAGTATTTACTATTTCAGATAGCACCTTCAAGCCTGCCTTGCATTCCATATTGGACTACTTCATGATGATAACTAGTTGCATCTTTGAACATGTTCTATTGGTCATGCTGTTTGCTACAATAATTTTTCCATATCCCCCGCTGGCACCTCCTCCGCTCGCGTTGTCGGTGCGTTCCTCATCCCCAAGTATAAATATGACACTATCAGAAAATAGTTATACAAGTAAGGTTTTTTGTTCTGCCAGTTTTTTCTGTTTTGATTTGCCCTTTTGAATTGAAGTTGTCGGGAAGTTCCTTTTACGTATATTTTGTTTAATTTGAAAATGCATGTGGGGTTTTGGTAGAAGTGAAGTAGAACTTTATGTTTTATTTAGAGGTAGAGAAGTAAGCAGTTGTAGTTTGATTTTATATTTTAAATAAGCTACTCCAGTTAAGCAATTTATAAGAATATTTGTGTTGGTTGTTATTTTGCACTTGGAATTGATCAAGCCCATGCTGCTGTGTTTCATGTTTTCTTTTTCCCGATATACACGCACCTTGTCTATTCACGGAGATGCATCTTCAAAAGCAGCCAGGGATAGGTTTCTGTTATTGTCCCAGAGGCTCTCTCGTGACCAGAATTTTTCCAAACCTGGTTTTGAATCTGAATTTTCTCATTTCGGGAGTTGTGAGTTACTGTGGATGTTTCGATTGGCTATGAACTTTAGTCAATTAGTCTGTCAGATGTTATCTATGTTTGATAATTGTGCATTCAAATGCTTACATTCAATTTTTCTTTTTGAGAAGAATTTACATATGATTTTCTGTTATGCTGCTTTAGGTATCTTCTATTCAATCTCTAGTAATTTAAACATTCAATATGATCATATTTTATCTTCTCAAACTTTTTCATAATCCCGTGTCTGTGTCCGACAGGAAAATTTCCCTATTTACTAATTGACAATGACATTAATGCTTATTATTGGGCTGTTCTGGCAGAGAACTAACATGAACAATTTGTCTCATACAGGTGGCCCGGCCCAGTCTTGTTCGATGAACCAAGTGAAAAATTGATAGTCCAATTTAATCTATATTTTAAAAGGGTCATAAATTTTGGTTGATTGGGATCATTGACTCAGTGTGACCTATAGGTCCTCTTCCAAAATGATTCCCCCGCAACATTACTTGCTCGGGTGATCGGGATCATTGGCCCAATCGATCAAAGTTTATTTGCGAAAAGATGGGTTACATATAAGTACTTCACAAAAAATCATATGCTTTACTGTTTTTTTCTTTTTTGGAGAAAACTCTTCTCCAGAACTTCTGTTCTCGCAAACAAAATATTGCTTGACCCCATTGAATTTGTCTGCATCATAAATGTGATAAAGGATATATCTGTATTCATCTAACTCTTAAAACTGTTGATTAGATACTTGTAATAATAAGCACGGGAAATCAATTATTGTTATAAGGTTTCTATTGCAATCATCTGAATGTTTTAGCATAATATTCTTTCCTTTTGTCCTTCTCATTTCTCTCTGGTTCTTTAAACAGGATCCAGTCAAGTTATTGCTCAATATCACCAATTTATTCGGCTTGGCTTTGAGGTAATCTTGTTATCATCTAGCTGCTGAAGCTTCATTTATTATTCTTGGTTGTTCCTCCATTTTATCATTTCCTAATGAAGATATCCGAGAAGAGGGTACTTGATGAATTTCAAATTTCATCAAGCAATTTCTACAATTTAACTGCTAAACAATAAATCAGAAATAACAACTGTTTGATGCATGGTATTAGCAATGTCCTAAGCAAAATTGCACTAATATATTGTTTCATCGTGTAAATAGTACAAATGATGATAATCATACCATCTTGTGCAAAAATTATTTTCTCTTATACTTTTGTTATTCTTCTTGCTATCGTGGACAAAAGGGTTACAAACATATCATGGAAAATTGCTGGGACAATGCAAGAACTCTGAGGAAAGGAGTTGATAGAACAGGGAGGTTTAACATCACCTCCAAGGATATAGGGGTGCCACTTGTGGCCTTCTCCTTGAATGACAGTAGCCAACACACAGTGTTTGAGATAGCAGACCAGCTGAGAAATTTTGGCTCGATTGTTCCTGCCTACACAATGCCACCAGATGCACAGCACATCACGGTCCTCAGGGTGGTGGTAAGGGAGGATTTCAACCATGGCTTGGCTGAGAGACTTGCTGCAGACATAGACAAGGTTGTGAAGCTCTTAGACACACTCCCTAGCCTCACAACCAAAGCCGCTCGTGTCACAGCCATCACCAGTGAGACTGATGAGAAGAAGATCAAGAAGATTGCAGTAGAGACTCAAAGAGACATTGCTGTGTACTGGAAGCGACTTGTGAAGGGGAAGAGACATGGAGCATGCTAGCCTTTTGGCAAACTTGATGTGGTGTGAGTTGAGGTGGTGGTTTCTTATCCATGTGCTTGTTATGTGTGATTTTGTAATGGTTATGCAGAAATAAGCAATGGCAATGCATGACAGATTGTAATAGTAATTGCTGTTCTTCACTAAGAAATTTTTCTGTTTTCTGCTCATGAAAAGGCACTATTATTATATAATGCATGAGTTACCTTTTATTTGAGATTAATAAAATAGAAAAAAACTTGCCTCTGTGAGGGTATTGTCTATTTTGCAAAACGATGCACAAATATTTACATCGAAACCAAATTACACTTTTATAGACTCAATTATAAGAATCTGGTGTTGATTAATAATACGAGATAAAAAAATGTATAATATTATGGGAATAATAATAAAATAAGTAAGATAATATTTCTTGGTGTTTTTTAAAGTTTAGTATATGAATATCTAATATAGGTATTATAAATCTGTGTTTATTCGTTAATAATACCATATGGAATCAATTCATATATATATATATATATATATATATATATATATATATATATATATATATGTATGTATATGTATATGTATGTATATATACAAAGAAAAGTTGATAAAATCATAGTTTCAAAAAACTACAGTTTTAATTCCTATAAAAATTTAATTACATATCTATTTTCATAAAAAAAGGTTTTAGAATATTTTTATTTAATTACCAATAAAAATGTTTAATGTATAGTAAATGATGGGAATGTTTCATAGGTACATAAATTCTCCGAAAAATCCTTCTTTTTCACTCTGCACCTTCCATTATCGTTAAAAATGTTGAATATTGTATTTTCATCTATTGACATCAACATGTTAAGAAATCATAAATAAATTTAAATTAATTAGTTTTTAAAATTCAAGAATAAAATTCGAAAGTTTTAATAGAGAGAGATTAATTTAAATAATATATAAAAGAAAGAACAATTAACCAAATTGTTTGGACCGGAATGGGCTAAGGTTTCGTGTTCACATTCAACTCAAAATGGGCCCTGGCCCATTGGCCTAGTTCCAGCCCAAAACTCCTGCTACATTGCTTTACGGACTATCACGTTTTCCGACACTATCATTTCTACACATACTCCGCCGTTCAAAATTAAAATGGACCAAAACCCGCCGTCGCCGGCGGAGGCGGCGCCGTCCTCCGACAAACCACAGTTTTCTCTATTCCCTCTGTTTCCAGCCTCCTCCTCTCTCCAAACCAACACCACTTTTTCGACTCCGCAATGGCTCTCTAACTCCAGCTTCACCACCGACATTTCCGTCATAAACGGCGCCGTCGCGTCACAACTCAACCGCGAAACGACGCTATCCCCGCCACAAAGCAACGACGACGATGAAAATCGTGCTGAGGCGAATCCTCCCCCTTCTCGGTACGAGATTCTGGAATCTTCCGAAACCGACGGAGGCGGAAGAGATAGAGAGAGGAAGAGAAGGAAGAAGAAAAAGAAGCGCAGGCGTGATTCTTCTACGGAGAGAGGCGGATTCAACGGTTTCGGTTCGAGGAAATCGCGTGTTCGAGCTTGGGCGGATTCAGAGACCAACGTTACTAAGGATTATTACTTTGATTCTCACGGAGATCGTGATAATCTGGCGTATGGATGCATCTATAGGTATTCTAGATGTAGTATTTTCGAAGTGGAACTGAATTTAATGGTTATTTTTACCACTTCAATTTTGCGAGTTATGTCGTTAGGATTTTGAATGGTTATTGTTTTCTTTTTGGTGAGCGTGTTGAATGGTAGTGCAAAATTTTGGTCCTGTTATGGCTGTTGATGAGTTTATTTGGATATGGGATCCAAGTGAAGTGTCCCGTAGTGAACTTTTTTTCTGCATGATGCACAATGAATGTGAACAATGAGGTAGTGAATATTGGTTTTGTTGAATATAGAGGCAAACTGGTTTGGGTTTTTCGGGTTAGGAGTTGGAACCTTGATTTGATGAGTATTTGGTTTTGTTTACTACAGAGACAGACTGGTTCTACAATGTGTTGCTCCTCTATCAGTTGTTGTTGGGCACTAATGGCTTCTTAGTTATTGCTTGACATGCATTCATTTATATGCATTTGTGAAGATTTTATGTTTTCGTAATATTGAGTCAGTTTGGCAGTGTCTTAATGGGGACTAAAGAGGGAGTTTGGGTAGAGGTTCTGCGTTAAGGTAGCCTAAAAATGAAAGAAAATTATTTGTTTGAGTAATGAAAGAAATGGGGTAGGCAATCAATTTCGATGTTGTTCTTCAGAAATTTAGGGACTAAAGTTATGTGGCATAAAAAGGTAATTTAGTTCCGGTTAAACTTTGACTTTTTGTTCTTAGGTTGTCCCTATGTCCCTCCCTTTACAGACTGATTACGGGTTCATGGTTTTATTTTTTTGTTTCATTAGTGGTGAATGATAATTCTTTATAAATACTATGCAGAATGGATGTTGCTCGATACAAACTTTACCATCCCTTGAATCTGTCTGGGCTACATACTCGAGGTTTGTATTGGTGGAATCGGAGTGGGTCACTCTGGGATAGAGATGGTGATGCTGATGCACTAGATGCTAAAATGAAGTCTGCTGGTCGTTACTGGTCTGGAAAGCATATGGCTTTGGAGAGACATAAGAGCTTTAAGCGTGTTCATCTTGTTGGTCCTAAATTCTCTCCTGTCAGTATGCAAGATGAGTTTATACCTTTATCTGAATCAGATGCTGGGGCATCTCAAGGAGCTGTTGACAGTGATTCCATCTCCAAAACTTCAGCACCACTTGAAGAATCTTGGGAAGATGAGATGTTAAACAAAACTAGGGAGTTCAACAAACTAACAAGGGAACACCCCCATGATGAAAAAGTTTGGGTAGCTTTTGCAGAGTTCCAAGATAAGATTGCAGGGATGCAACGGCAGAAAGGTGCTCGCTTGCAAACACTTGAGAAAAAGATTAGCATTCTGGAGAAGGCAGTTGAGCTTAATCCAGACAATGAAGAGATGTTGCTTTGCCTTTTGAAAGCTTATCAGATGAGAGACAGCTCAGAAGTGCTAGTTGCAAGATGGGAAAAAATACTTTTGAAACACTCTGGAAGTTCTAAATTATGGAGAGAATTCTTGCTCATTGTTAAGAGAAATTTCTCCAGATTTAAGGTTTCAGATGTCAGGAAGATGTATGTACATGCAATTGAAGCTCTATCTGCTTCATGCAGCAAGCACTCTAGGCAGGTTCTCAACTTTTATGCTTTATCCTCTTTTTGTTTAGTCCACAAACGTGAATCTTTTCCATCTATTTTTAATGCATTTTCTTGTTTGCACATGCGATGTTATTTTCTCTTAAGTGAATGATCTGATCCCCTATTTAGTCGCACTGTGAGAGAGATATACTGAAGGAGGGATTGAGTTCACTGTGCAACCACTTTTCTTTAATTTTTTACTTTCCTCTTAAAGTTGTTGGAGTTTGAAGGTATTGGAATTAATGGGCTGATAATAAAACTTATATACAATCATTTTATGCACTGTACAAACAAACCATCCTTCCATTTTCGCTTTCATTTTGGAGGTGTATAAATTAGTTGTTTTATGCATCAAAGGTCACGGAGTTAATATATGTTAGAACTGAACAACTTTACATGATTTGCGTGACTTTCTTCACTTATTAATTTAATGTCTTCTGAATATTCTATAAGATTCTGAACTGTTCTAAAAAGGAATCAAAACTTGTTTTAGCAGGTTCTTCAAGGTGCTGATCCTTCTTCACCAGATCCTGTAATTGTTCAGTTAGAACTTGGTCTTGTGGATATATTTCTTAGTCTATGCAGATTTGAGTGGCAGGCTGGTTATAGAGAATTGGCCACTGCTTTATTTCAGGCTGAAATAGAGTTTTGTTTGTTTTGTCCTCCTTTACTGCTCACTGAGCAGGGTAAACACAGACTGTTTGAGCATTTTTGGAACAGTGATGGTGCTAGAGTTGGGGAAGAAGGGGCTCTTGGTTGGTCCACATGGTTGGAGAAAGAGGAGGAAACTAGGCAACAAGTTATGAATGAGGAGCTCTCGCGTGAAAATGAAGGTGGTGGTGGTTGGACTGGTTGGTCAGAACCACGGTCTAAAGATAATGAGTGTGTTGCCATAGTTGAAAATGAAGACAACAATGATGTGGTTATGGAGGATAATCAAGATGAAGAGGAATATAATGAAGTTGAGACAGAAGTTGATACTGAAAACTTGCTGAAGATTCTGGGAATTGATATCAATGATGGGGATGGTGAAGTTAATGACGCCTCAACTTGGATCAAATGGTCAAAAGAAGAGTCTTCTAGAGATTGTGATCAGTGGATGCCTGTTCATAGGAAATCAGGTAGGATCATCTCTTGTTGCAGTAACTACTATACTTCTCTCAAAGTGTATTTTTTGTGTGTGCATGGCTTCTCTTGAATTTTGCTTTATTGCTTTGAAACTCAATTCAATTTCATTACAAACAAGCAATTTATACAAGTGTACTTAACCATGAACAGATACAACCTCTCCTGCTAGTGAAGTACAGAAAACAGATGAGGACGAGCAACTCTTGAGAGTTGTATTGTATGAAGATGTGAATGAATACCTGTTCTCCCTAAGCACAACAGAGGCTCGACTATCTTTGTTGTCCCAATTCATTGACTTCTATGGTGGGAAGATGTCTCCATTGTGAGTTTTCTAATGTAGTAGAGACCCTTTTGTGCACACTAGTTGATATTGTTCTAGTGGGAATCAGTCTTCAAAAGCTAGTGCGGATTAGTATGTTCTGTAGTATACTAATTGGCTAGTATTCCAATGTGCCATGGAAATAAAGGTTTCAAAATAGCTGGTTAACACAAATATTTTACTTTTCATGCCTGATGGATTTGCATGCATGTGATGATCATTTGTGTTGTTAGAGTTACAAATGCTTTTAATGGCTCAATCCTACTGGGTTGATTTATGGCTTATACTTATTCATGTTATTTCAATTGATGCCATTTCTATTGTATCTTTTTTCTTTTGTAGGTTTTGTTCAAACAGCCAAACAATGGCAGACAATATCCTTACTTTGGAGGATCTGCCAGATTCTATGTTAGAGAAGTTGAAACACATCCATGAAGTTTTGACTAAAACACAGAACAGTCCTACTGGTTTCAGTTTTGAATTCCTGTCAGGCCATATCTCAAGGAATGCTGATATTATGAAATTTATACGGAATGCTGTTTTACTTTGTTTAACCGTTTTCCCACGAAATTACATGTTGGAAGAAGCTGTTCTTATTTCTGAAGAGCTATATATTACAAAAATAAATTCTTCTAACAGTTTGGTTACACCATGTCGATCTTTAGCCAAATCTCTTCTAAAAAGTGATAGACAGGTATTTATTTTCCTTGCTCTCTGCATTGCTTCTTTAACATAAATAAATGTTATTTTAGCAAATCTTTAGTACTATTAAAATGTTGTGATATATCTACAATGATATTTTCATTATCTTTCAGTGTTGTGATATATCTGAAGAACTATTAAAATGTTGTGATATATCTACGTTGATATTTTCATTATCTTTCAATGTTTCTGTGACCAAAATAATTTTTTTCCAAATGCTTACATTTCTGAATTTTTAATTGAAAACAATATATGATTTATTTCTATTTTGATGATTTAAGTTGTTTTGAAGGTTCTCATAGAGGGAACAGAGAGGGCCAGATGGAATAATTTAGTTTGTTGTGATGGTTTTACTTGATATTAGATTTTATAGTAGTTACTGGATATTAATCCTTATAGGATAAAAAGATAATCACAGTCCTGTTGGAGACCCATAATAAGTATACATGGAGAGAAAATATAATGAAGATGTAGAGGTTTTAAAGTTTAGAAGAGAAAAAGGTGCCAGTACGGACAACTTTTATGCATGAGCACAAAATACAACTTCAGTATCTTGTGACTTGAGCTAAATGGTAGCTTGCTGCAATTCTATCATTTATTAAGAAATGACTGAACAAGTTTTTTGCGTAAGATTAACATTTACATGTGATGCTATAATCTTATTCTTTTTCGTAATGTTTGGGCTTCTTAGATTATTTTATTCTTGTTATTTGGTTATTGTAGGATGTATTGCTATGTGGTGTATATGCAAGAAGAGAGGCCACTTATGGTAACATTGATCACGCAAGAAAAGTGTTTGACATGGCATTGCTATCTGTAGAAGCGCTTCCTGTGGTATGCATTGATTTACTACTTTAATTTCACTCTTTTTTTGGAGTTTCTTTGCAAGCTCTTTTTGTGTGGCAATTTGAAGCACATGCTACCATCTGATTGGGGGCAGAATTTGTCCTTTTTAGTAGGTTTTTGTATTGTGGCATACTTGATTTGTGATATAACATTAGGAATTTTGCATGTATTTGGTTTTAAGCACATGGCCCTTTTAATAGGATGTCTCTATTAAATTTCTCTTTCTATTGACTGTTTTATGTTCTTTTATTTTGTGAGATTCCCTGACCTCCTTTCCTTTTTTGATTTTTTTCTCTGTATTAACAAGTTTTTAAGGAAAAAAATTATACGTGAAAGTATGGACAATTTGCTTTTACATTGTGTTTGGTTGAAGTGGAAGAGGGAGTAAGGAATGTCAATGCTTTTGATAAATTAATTTGTTTGGTTAAAAAATTGGAGGTAAGGGAAAGAAGGGATTCAATACCCCTCCTCAATTTTTTCTCCTCTCCAATAGTGGAGCGATTTGGAGGGGAGGGAAATTACTTGAAGTTTTTGGATTGTACTTTAAGTGTGAACTTTAAATACTTATTTAAAGGTTTTATTCTTATATTGTAACAGTGACATAGGAATTTACTAATTTTTCCATCCCTCCCCTCTCTGAGCAAATGAATGGTCCCTTCCCCACCTTCAAAGTTTGAACTAAAAAGAAACAAAAGTGGGTACATAGTACAATTAAAGATATGGAGGATGCATACCTTCACATAAAGGTGAAATAATTAGCACGCTGTGCATATATTTACACATCCCCGTGTGCATACAAAATTGTAGGACTAGCTTTCTTATATGTATATAGATGAGTTGTAGTTGTGCCTAAGATTTTATGTTTGTTTAATCTTATAGAAAAGAGTGGATTATATGATACAGTCCTTTTATAATATTTTAAGAATAAATTAGTTTTAGCTTTTGAGAAAAGCACTAAAACAACAACTGTGATTTTTTTAACACTTTTTATAACATAATTATTATACATTTTTTAAAACAAATCTTATAATTAAAAAAAAACACAAACTAGCAGGCCCTTTGTTTTTTAATTAAATAAATTCAATACAGGTTTTTTATGTCACAATTCTGCCTGAGGTTTTATTCTTTTTCATAATTGCATTCTTTGCACTTTAATGGAGTAGGAACTACAACAGTCCAGTGCTCCTCTTCTATATTTCTGGTATGCTGAGGTGGAGGTTGCAAATAAATCTGCTGATGATTGTGAGTCTTCATGTCGTGCAATACATATATTATCGTGCTTAGGAAGTGGTACAAAATACAGCCCATTTAAAAGTCAAGCATCAGGTTTGCAACTGCTGAGAGCACATCAAGGATTTAAAGAAAGACTAAGAACAGTATGGTCATCTTGGGTTCGTGGTATAATAAATGATCAGTCTGTAGCTCTAATATGTTCTGCTGCATTGTTTGAGGAGCTGACCACTGGATGGGATGCGGGCATTGAAGTTTTGAATCAAGCTTTTTCAATGGTGCTTCCAGGTTATGTGTCTTCAGTAATTGATCTTCTCTTAGAAAACATGAGACCTTTAAGACAAGTGTGATTATTTTAAAGTTCAAGTAGAAATTCTTAGTTTTTCGAAACATTATTCAATCTTCCCTATGATGGTCTTTGTCATTTGTTGGCAACCAGTGCCAACTATAATTTTAATATTCAGACATCCAAAACTTTTTTATCTACATCATGAACATACTGTTTTTTGTAAAGATTAATTATAAAATTAGGTTTATTATTTTAGGTTGGGTAGAATTATATGAATTTATCTTGGTGCTCTGATGCATGCCTATTTCTCCTAAATGTTGTTATTTCAGTTTGACCTATAGACACATGGATAGATTTAAAATACATGTTTTTTGTTTCAATGATTGAATGGAATTTAACGTGATTTCGGTTGAAACATGTTATATAATAAATTAAAATTCCATTGGCCCTGAAGCACACGGGAAGTGCAATGCCATGTACTAAAATGCTCTGATATAGTATCCTGTAGAAGAAGCTTACACTGTTACTTGTCTTTATTGCTTCATATTTGGTACTTATGATGTCTATCTAATGCTTGCAACCTGCAGAAAGAAGAAGTCAAGATTATCAGCTTGAATTTTTGTTTAACTATCATATAAAGATGCTTCAAAGACATCACAGAGAATCAAGTCTGATGAAAGTTTGGGAGTCCATCTTGCATGGCCTCCAGATATATCCCTTCAGTCCCGAACTTCTAAAAGATGTAGTGGAGGTTGGCCATTATTACACTACATCTAATCAATTGCGGCGGATTCTAGATGGCTTTTGTTACAAGTATGTTTCTTTTCGACATAGCTTTATGATTTTGTCAAAGGATGTCATGGTCTGATTAGACAGAAATGACAGGCTTAAAATGGCTTGAAAGGTTTTAAAATGACCGGGTCCAACAAGCAAAGTTAATTGCTTTCTTAGGGAAGATGTAGACCATTAATGAAAATTGTAACTTTCATTCCACAAGTGAATTTAAGTTTAAAATTAATCTTATGTTATTAGTGTAATGTATGTTTAAATTTGTTCAAGAAAAGTGACATTGAAAACTATTCTAGGAACTGGATGGGAAATATAAAGTGAAGTTCTTTTTATTTTCTTCCTGTCATATCTTGTTTTGATCCCAAAGGAAGGAGCCCCTTCTAAGGCAGTCTACTATCCTCTCCATTCCTAAAATTTTGGTGAAAACAAGAAATTTGGTTTGAGTTAAGAGAGTAAAGAGAATGAAAAGAAGATTTCTAATTTTGTGGGATACTTACTCCACTCTATGATCTCATATATATATATAGGATTACAACATTTAAAACAACAACCACTAACTACTAACAACCACCAACCACCAACTACTAACTACTAACCACTAACCACTAACTAATAATAATTCTAACACTCCCCCTCAAGCTGGAGCATACAAATTGTATGTACCAAGCTTGGAACAAATAAATTCAATTCGAGGTCCTCTTAAAGACTTTGTCAACACATCTGCAAGTTGATCATTGGACCCGACAAATTCAGTGCAAATTTCTTTAGACAACAATTTTTCACGAATAAAATGACAATCAAGTTCTATATGTTTGGTCCTTTCATGGAACACCGGATTAGAGGCAATGTGGAGAGCTGCTTGATTGTCACAATACATCTTCATCTGTTGGATCTCACAAAATTTCGGTTCTTGAAGGAATTGTTTCACCCACACTAGTTCACAAGTGAGAGATGCCATTGCTCTATATTCAGCTTCGAGCACTAGGCCAGAGCCACTACATTTTGTTTCTTACTTTTCCAAGAAATAATATTGCCTCCAATGAGAACACAATATCCTGTAGTGGAGCGTCTATCCATAGGGGATCCGACCCAATCGGCATCACAATACCCGGATATTTGGGTACCCCCTTTATCTTCATACAACGGACCTTGTCCTGGAGCTTTTTTGAGATATTTTAGGATGTGAACGACGACATTCCAATGATCGATACGCGGATTTTGCATAAATTGACTCACAACTCCAACGGCAAAAGATAGGTCGAGTCCGGTAATGGTGAGATAAATGAGTTTCCCAACAAGTCTTCTATATCTCTCGGGATCGGAGAGCGGTTCACCTTGATCCGCCATTAATTTCTGATTTGGATCCATAGGTCATGTTCATTGGTCTACAATCAATCATGCCTGTTTCTTTCAAGATATCTAAAGCATACTTTCTTTGGGAGACTACGATGCCTTCTTTTGATTGAGCCACTTCAATCCCTAGAAAGTATTTGAGACAACCAAGATCCTTAGTTTGGAAGTGATTGCATAAATGTTTCTTTAGCAAAGAAATTTTATCAACATCATTCCCTGTAATGACTATATCATCTACATATACAATTAAATAAACACATTTTCCTGAAGCAATATAATAAAAAACAGAATGATCTGCTTCACTTCGTTTTAATCCAAAACTTTGAACAATGTGACTAAACTTTCCAAACCAAGCACGTGGAGATTGTTTGAGACCATAGAGAGAACGATGTAACTTACAAACCAAACTAGACTCCCCCTGAGCAACAAAACCAGGAGGTTGCTCCATATAAATTTCCTCCTCAAGATCACCATGCAAGAACGCATTCTTGATATCTAACCGATGAAGAGGCCAATGACGGATAGTTGCCATAGCAAAGAAAAGTCGAGCAAGTAGTCATTTTGGCCACAGGAGAAAAAGTATCACTGTAGTCAAGGCCATAGATCTGAGTATAGCCTTTTGCTACTAATCTAGCTTTGAGTCGATCAACTTCACCTTTTGGTCCAACTTTAATGGCATAGACCCAACGACAACCAACAGTCTTCTTCCCATGTGGAAGAGGAATTAAGTTCCATGTACCATTGTGCTCAAGAGCCTGCATTTCATCAATCATGGCTTGTCGCCATCCAGGATGATCAAGTGCCTCTTTTACATTCTTTGGAATAGTAATAGTGGATACAGAAGAAACAAAAGAAAAATAGGAAGGAGACAATCTATGGTAGCTAAGAAAATTGTAAATGGGATGTGGATTACGAGTAGAGCGAGTACCTTTGCGAATGGCAATGGGCCAACTTGAGTCACCATTATCAGGAATCGTGGTATCAGGGGATGATTGAGAAGGATCTGCTGAGGAAGACTCATCTTGGGACATGGGACTGATCATTTGGCTCCTGTGTTGATAGGTAATAAGAGGCAGTGATGAGGATTCCGGTGTATTTTGTGTGAAATTTTGGGTGTCAGGAGGAGGTACAAATGACTCCACTAAGGGTATAGGTAGGACATTTTGGACTGAACTAATATCCTGCATAGAAGAAGGGAAGAAGGGAGTTGACTCAAAAAAAGTGACATTAGCAGACATGTAGTACCTCTTGGTTTCAGGAGAATAACATCGATATCCTTTTTGAAGACGAGAATATCCCAAGAAGACACATTTGATGGCTCTAGCTGATAGTTTATCTAAACCTGGAGACATATCATGAACAAAACATACACAACCAAATACACGAGGAGAAACATGAAAGAGTGGGTCATTTGGCAATAGAATAGAGTGTGGAACTTTATTGTTAAGAGAAGAAGATGGCATTCTGTTAATGAGAAAACATGCAGTAAGAATAGCATCTCCCCAATGATGAACGGACATATTTCCACCAAGTAATAAGGTACGAGCAGTTTCAACCAAATGTCTATTTTTTCGTTCTGCTATACCATTTTGTTGTGGTGTGTGAGGACAAGTAGACTGGTGTAAAATGCCTTGGGAGCTTAAGAGAGTGGAGAAATCAGTAGAAAAGTATTCTTTAGTATTATCACTTCGTAAAACTTTGATTACTTTTCCAAATTGATTTTTGATTTCGTTAAGGAAAGACTTAAAGATAGGTAATAATTCAGAACGGTCTTTCATTAGATAAATCCAAGTACACCTAGAAAACTCATCAATGAAGGTAACAAAATATCTATAGCCAAAGGATGAGACACGACTAGGATCCCAAATATCAGAATGAACAAGAGAAAAGACAGAGTCACATCTAGATTCAGAACGTTTAGGAAAAGAGGACCTAGTATGTTTCCCTAGTTGACATGATTCACATTCAAAATCTTGAAGAGTCTGAAGTTCAGGAACCATTTTTTTTAATCTTGATAAGTGAGGGTGCCCTAACCGTTCGTGTAATAGTTTTGGAGACAAGGATGCAACACAAGATACGGATGATTTAGTCCCAAGGTAGTATAAGCCTCCAGATTCATGTCCTTCGCCAATCTGTCGACCCGTACCACGTTCCTGTATAACAAAAGAGTTGGCATTAAAGGTTACTGAACAATTCAATAATTTGGTTAATTGACTTAGAGAAATGAGACTGAAGGGACATGAAGGAACAAAAAGAACAGATTTTAAGTTTAAAGACGGAGAAATGGAGACTTGACCAGTTCCTTTAGAGGCTACTTTAGATCCGTTGGCTAAGGTTATGAGATGAGGAGTTTTAGGAAATGAGAGAGAAGAGAACAAAGAGGCATTACCGGACATGTGATTAGAAGCACCTGAGTCAATAATCCATGAATTTTGACTTTCCACAGATTGTGAAATGCAAGTCTGTTGATGAATTTGGGGTTGTTGATGACTCGTGCTAGATTACTGGATTTCAACCTCAAATATTCCCGATATTCTTCGTGAGAGAACTTGGGTTCAACCATTCCGGATTTGGAAAAATTGACAGCTTTATCGGAAAACCGTGCAAAGAGTAGCAATTTTCCACCGTATGACCCATTCTCTTGCAATGAGTGCACCGAGGACGTCCTCTACCTCCACGTCCTCCTCTAGTGTCGCGACTTCCTCTTCCACGGGTAGAAATCATAGCGGAAGATTCAACAAGTTCTTGATTATTTTTTCCTTTGAAAGTTGGAACACGAAGCGAGTCTTGTAGTCAAACTTTCCATAGAAGGAACTTCTTGTCCAGTTAAAATTTGATCTCTAACATGATCAAATTCCGAATTCATAGCTCGGAGAGTCATAACCATATAGAATTTATCCAACTTTTGCTTTATCTCCTCTAACGAATCCACCTCTAGGAACATCTTTAATTCTTCAACTCGTCGATTGAGCTTCCGCAATAAAGGTCATCATATCTTTATCCACTTGCTTGAGAGAGGCTAATCGATTAGCGGAATCATAGAGGCGTTGGATATCATTTGCGAAGATATTCTGAGCTTTCTTCCAGAAAGAGTTACATGTTTTGAAGGATCTGAGAGTGTTCAAAATATTTGGTTCTACTGATTGCCACAGTAGAGCACAGAGTTGATAATCAAGCTTTTTCCATTGTTGAGCCTGATCTTCTGGTATCTTACTTCCGTCTTCTTCTAGATGATCGTGAAACCCTTGTCCAAGGAACCAAAGTTCCACTGAAGAGGACCAAGACATGTAATTTTTTCCATTTAATTTCTCAGCCGTTATCGTGGGAGTTCCGGAAAAGGAGGTTGTGGGCCCTGACGACATGTTTTAAATAATGTAGATGTAAGATGGAGACAATGGAACCTGTAAGAAAGAGAACACCCAAGATAGCCTGAAGGTTACTGGAAGGTGGTCGGAAAAGTCGTCGAACGGCAGCAAAAAAAAGGTGACTGGACGGGGGACTGACGGCTGCCGGAAAGTGGCCGGAAAATGGTCGGACGGTGGCCGGAAAATGGTCGGATGATGGCCGGAAAATGGTCGGACGGTGACCGGAAAATGGCCGGACGGTGACCTGAAAATGGCTGGACGGTGGCCGAAAAATGACCGGGACGGTGGCCGGAAAATGGTCAGACGGTGGCAGATGGTGGCCGGATGGTGGCCGGACGGTGGCCGGACAGGCAGAGCAGGACCAACCTGCTCTGATACCAAGTTAAGAGAGTAAAGAGAATGAAAAGAAGATTTCTAATTTTGTGGGATACTTACTCCACTCTATGATCTCATATATATATATAGGATTACAACATTTAAAACAACAACCACTAACTACTAACAACCACCAACTACTAACTACTAACCACTAACCACTAACTAATAATAATTCTAACAGTTTGTTAGTTAAATTTTTAGTTAGCTTTTAACTTCCAAGCATTACCATGATGTTGCAAAGAATGCAACTGCAGTCCTTAAAAACTCCTAGAAGGTTTTGTACATCAAGAAGATAAATGAAAATTGTAGCTTCAAAATTAAAGGTCCTGTTTCTGAAAATAATTGACCTTTATCTGTTAAAGATTTTCTTCTTCCCTGCCCTGTTTTAGGTTGTAGGTAATCTGTTTCTCCCTCTCTTTTTATATCAGTAACATTTGGTTTTTACTCCCGAAATACACATCTCTTTTTTTATGATATAAATATTTTATATCCCCTTAGTTTAGATTCATACTTTCTTTTTATTATTATTACAGTTTTACATGTGTTTTCTGTTTCCACACAAGAATATGTATGGTAAAATCAAATATTCTAGTCGGTTTGTGCAAATTTTCTGATATAAACTAAGCAATAATTTATTCCTTTGTGGTACATCTCAGGAAACCATCTTTAGTTCTCTGGCTTTTTGCATTGTCGTTTGAAATGTTTAGAGGTGGTTCACATCACAGAATCCGGGGATTGTTCGAAAAGGCATTGAGTAATGACAGGCTTAGCAGCTCAGTTGTACTGTGGCGGTGCTACATTATGTTTGAGATAGAAATTGCAAATGATCCTTCTGAAGCTCGTCGTGCGTTCTTTCGGGCTATCCATTCCTGCCCCTGGTGAGAACTATGTTTTAAACAATTGAATGATATTTCCTTAGTAAATTGACTTTGCCACAGTTGAGCCTGAAAACAATCCAATTGGGTTTAGAGTTGGCGCCTCTTGTTCCTCAGTGGTATATCCCGGAAGTACAAAACAGGGTTGAAAAAAATAGTATTTACCTAAAATTGTTGTTAGGAAACAATTTACAAAACAGGTTATTTGTATGAGAATTTTTTCATGCACCAAAGTACAAGGCAACATACAGTGTTGAAATCGTGTGATATAAACCCCATTTGCATAAGGGTTAACTTAGGTCTTTAGAGTTAGAATCTTGTAGGAAATTTAGGAAATTATTGAGAAGGTGGATTATAAAGTAAAGAAAATTTTAGAGTTGGACAGTATTTTTGAAACGGTGATAAGTTATAAAATTCTAATTGAGGTGATTTAAAAAAGAGGTGAAAGTTCTCTTTATGAATTTCAATTTAGGCTCAAGAAATACTCAATTTGGACAAGTAGAGTGAAATTTATGACAACGAAATAAATTTGGACAGAATTGGGATTTTTGGGTTTTGGTGAAGAAAGGATAAGAAGTGAATGTGAAAGGTCAAAGAAAAGAATCACTCTTCCCAACGGAGACAACTCACAAAGGATATAAAAGTCCTTTGATACAACCAAGGGTTCTTGAATCACTCTAGAACTTAGGAGAATCACTCTCACCAAGATAAAAGATATAAACTTTAATATTTTTGAATAAAACTCAACTTGTTATTTATGATAAAAATGGTTTAGCTTATGTAGAAGTTTTGTCATCAGAGTTACAATAAGGAAAAATAAATACTAATAATGATTCATTAATCTAGGAATTGAAAACTACTTAATGGTAATAAATAAATGTCAATAATGATTCATTAACTTAGAAATTCAAAATTACATAATGGTTGATTGTAACTACAACCAAAAGTCAATCACCTAAATTTTCAATTGGGCCTTTATTACAACTTGGAATAAAATCAAACTAAAACCTATTAATTGATTAACCCAAAACATAATTTGGTCAGCCAACTTTACAAAGGATTGAATAATTATTTAAACAAACTTAAAAACTGGAACAAAGTAATGTATTATTCTTCCTCCATTTGGGCCATGATGCAATTCACAACTTTGATCTTTTCTTCTTGAAATGTGGGCTTGTATTCAAATAATATGGACAACACTTGTTGAAGAGCTTCCTTTGCTTCTTTTGCTCTAGCTCTTGTCATAGGTCCTCCAAGTCCTTTAAGTGGATCCTTGCCCTTGCTCATAGTCATGTCTCCATTCAAGCTGAAGACATGACTTTATTGCCTGTGGAAATGTGACTGAGAAAGTAGAAAGGGAGTTGATTTTCAGCTGGCGACTCCATAAAGGACTTGGTAAATCATTTGGCAAGACCAAATACTGATGGTAGCAATCCTACATGTCACCATGTACTTTGGTGTAATGGAAAAATTCCCATGCAAATCACATACTTATGTAAATTGTTTCCCAACAATTTTCTGGTCAATACATTTTTTTTTTTCACCCTGTTTTGTACTTTTTTTTTCTTCTAGATTTCTAGTTCTATTTATCGCAAAATGTTCCCTCTCCCAAAAAATTGGCAGAAAGGTTTGCAATTGTAATGCTGTAGATATGTGTACAACTAGAAAGGTTTGCAATTGCAAGGTAAATGGGACGTTTAGAAATAGAATCAATGGGGTTAGTGAAGAGACTGACAATTCTATGAAGAATCCATCTCAATGTAATTTCTTATTCCTATAAAAGTATGAAGGAGTAAAACTTTGTTCAAACTAGATAGAAAGAGAGATTCTGAAGGAAACTGGGATGAAGGATTTTGTTTCCAGCTATATGGGAACAATATTTAAACAAACTGAAATATGGGAACTTAGGATTTTTTTTTCACAGCCAGCAATGCATTATTTCCATTGATCCTGTACTGACAATGGAGTGAATTCGTGTCTTTTGGCATGCACTCATAAAAGATTGTATGATTCGTGATTTCAAATGTTGATGTATAAAATAAGGTATGGCCAATTAGGAATATAACTTGTTTAAAAGTGAGTGGTGGTGATATATTATGTGTCATTGAACTCTCAAGTTGTATTTTCATATCTGACACTTTTTTTAAACGTGTATACATATTTGTTCCTATTTATAATAATAATAATAATTATTAATATTAATATAAATTTGCATACCAGGTCAAAAAGACTATGGTTGGATGGCTTTCTCAAGCTTAATTCTGTCCTTAGTGCAAAAGAGCTATCTGATCTACAGGAAGTTATGCGTGATAAGGAACTGAATCTGAGAACTGACATTTATGAGATCCTTCTCCAAGAGCCATGAAATTTACTGTCCCGGTGCTGCTATAATACGACTGTAGCAAAAGTTGCTAGTATAGTACTTGATGCTTGCCCTTGTCGTGATAATGATGTGACCTGGTGCAGAATTTTATTGGAAGGTCGTGTTTCCACCAATATTACGTGAAGTCGCTACATTTTTCAGCTTAGTTTACTTGCATGGTTAGCATGTGGAATTGACACAACTGCAGCAGAAGTGTAAATTTAGGGGCCCTCCTTGGGTATATCTGAACATGCAATGCACTTGTAAATAAACATTGGAATTCAAAGAAAAACTAAAAATAAAATAAGGAATGTTTGGTCAATTGATCGCGTAAATTAAAAAAAAAAAAAAATCAGTTGACAGCCGTTTGCTGATGTGCTTCACTCGACTTTTATTCTTTTTTTTTTCTTTTTTAATGTAACAAATTTTAAATAATAAGTGTGAAATTGAGATGTTATACAACTTTAATATTTAAAAACATAAATAAATATATAATTCCAATTAATTGTAAAATTAATATTTTTGTTTATTTACATAAATTGTCAATTAGCTTTCTATTTTTTTAAAAGCTTTTTTAACTATTAGGTTTTATTGAAAGTCTTAATTTTTTTTAGAAACAAATTTGGTATGGTATAGGTTCCCTAATTGGGATGAGATTATCAAATATAAAAAAATGTTGATTTGGAAACAAACTCGTTTGATTGAAACATGGAAGGCAGATGAAAATATTGGTCTCACAATACATAATTAATGCTAACTTACTCGTTAACATGACAGCAATACATAATTTACATTTCAGATATATATTATTATTATTATTATTATTATTATTATAATAATAATTATTATATAATAAATAAATAGATAATAAATTAATTGTTGTCTGTCTATGCAGACTTAATGCACGTCACGTGTTAAAAACGAAACATTAAATAAAAATAAAAGCAAATTGATTTATTTTCAATACTCACTATAATTATATTAAAAGTATCATTTAAAGAATTTAACACCAATATCAGTAATAGGTGTATCTTCATCACACAACTAAAGATAACGTGTAAATCTCCTAGTCGTGCTCAAGAATAAAGATGTTAAAAAATTAATATAACATTTTAATAAAATCGATCAGGGAGGAAAAAAGTAGTCTTACCACACATTTTCTAATTTCATTCATCTTTGTATAACATTTTGTTTTATGTTATAAATACTCCTCTTTTATCTTTTTTCTAAGGAAAAAATCTTATATCAAGTTATAAATATATACTTTTTTAAAATAGGTCCCACACTAACAATAAAAACATTTGCAGGTGAAGAAGAAGCAGGACGCATTAAAGACATTTTCAGACTTTACAAAATACTTATCTTAGAAGGGATATTTAAATAATTGTAATTTTATTTTTTCTTAAAATATATCTAAAATGAATATTTATCTCTAAAATTTGTTGTTCCTTTTTATAATTGAATGGTGCATTCTTTTTTTAAAATTTTTTAATTAATTGAGATGTTTTTACTAAAAATATTATAAATATTTTAAATTGTTTTTATTTTAAATTATTTATTTTTTAAAATTCTTTATTCGAATAATATAATCTAAATTTATTAAATTTTAATTTTAATATCTGAATAAAATATTTCAATTATCATCAAATATAACATATAAACAAAGAAAAATTACAATTCAATTGAAAAGTTATCTTTGTAATTTTTGACAAAACTACAACTTCACCCGAAAAATAAATTATTGATGTAAAAAAATTCACATTGGTAAAAAATCATAATAAATTTTAATTGAAAAATAGCTTTCACTTAATGGATAAATAATCTCAATGTCTACAAAATATAACTGTTATCAATATTACTAAAAAAAAAATTCTAATTTATATTAAACTTAAAATAGTTTTATAAGCATCATAAAAGATGCTGACTTGCATCTATCACAAAATGTCTATGAATATTGGTTGAGCTAATCATGATTAACATTGATAAATAAATAGTTTTGACGTATATCATGATTATGTTAGTTTAAAAACAATCTTAAGTGACATAAAATGAAACACAAACTAAAAATAATTCTAGATGATGTCATAAAATAATCGTGTTTAAGATACCAATTGAAAAATAATATTAATGTTAAAAACAATTTCTATAACTGACATAAGTTAAAAAATAACATTGGCCTATACAAAGAAAGTAATCTTCAAGAAAATGAATCATTATTTGTTTTAACTTAAAAAAAATGTCATTTGAGATATATAGAAAAAAATAAATCGAATCAAACTAATTACATTTCAAACAAACTAATATATTTAATCGAGATTAAGCTAGAGAGAATATGAAAAAATAAAACAAATTGAAAAAAAATAATTAAATTTATATAATATTCAATAAATAAATTATTATTATTATAAATTAATAGAATTTCATTTTTTTAATTTTTTATCCAAATAGTTTATTTACAAAGTATGTTAATTTCTTCATAAAAAAATTATCCTTTGAAAATTCTTTAATTAAATACACCATAAAGTTTCTATTCTCCTGATCCATTTTGAGAAGAAAAATACTCACATATATTATCAAAACCTCACTCAAATACTTTAACTTAATTATGAGAAGAATAATTTTGGAACAATACAAATTATTACAAATATTTAGTTAAATAAATATTTAAACATGATAAATAAAAATAAAAATTATAAAAATGTTATTTACAATTTTTTTTATCATTTATTTAAATATTATTAAATATTTTCTATAAATTTATATTTGTAAAAAAATTGCAGAAAACAATTTTAATTTTTTCCCAATTTTCTGACAAATTTCTCTCTCTCTCTCTCTCTCTCTCATATATATATATATATATATATATATATATATATATATATATATATTTGTAGGAATTTAGCAGTAAATTTTTGCAAATGATTTTTTTGTAGAAAAATTTGAAGAAAAAATCATAATTTTTTGTATAAATAATTATTTGCAGAAAAATTTATAAATATATTTTATAAAAAAATTTACAGAAAATAATTAATTTTTTAGTAGGGTATAAAATTAAGAATATGAAATATTTTTAACTAACACTAATATTTCTAGTGTGAAATTAAGTATCAATTTAAAGAAAATTTTATATAAATGACATAATATTTTCAAAATATCATATAAATAATAAGTATTAACTTGTAAAAATAGTTTGGTATTAAATATGTAAATGATTCATTTAAGACATTTATTTTTATCATTTTGATCTCTATAATTTTTTTCCATATGGATATATAACAAAAATATTTCTTTCTACTTTTATTTCTTAATCCTGAATTAAATAATTTGTTTTAATATCTCCGAAAGTAATTTAAGAATATTGATCTCATATGTAAATAATAATAAAAAAATCTTATCATTTCTGTCTTTTTCATTTAACATTAAAAACTTGTTCACGAAATTCTATATATCTTGTATCTCAAATATATTAATTTATTTTAATGATTTATGTATAATAATATGATAAGTTAATTTCATAAAAGAATATGAATGTGTTAAGATATTAGTCCTTGATTTTCAGTGAAAAATATGCATGATTCAAACTAAGAATGATTGAAATATTTTGATGCATATACATCTTATTTATCAAACACATGGACGGTGAGGTATTTATCAAGTCTTAACCTCCCATCAAATGGGTTGTCGGCAACATAAATTGATGAATCCATGTCATGAGATGCATAAAACTGAGACACATTTAGATGACATTTTGCTGTTACTAGGAGTGATTTCAAGCGTCACCATCCCAAAGCTCTTCCAAGGTCTTGTAAGGTCCATTTTCTGACACAAAGCTTATTCCATTATACATCCTATGCTGTGGAATGTGGCTGAATTTCTGTGTGTCCTCCTGCCTCAGTTCCCACTCAAATATGTCAAGGTTTTCTTTCATTCTCTCCTTGTTGAAGCTTCTCACAATCACACTTGCTCCTTGCTCGTAGACCCATCTTAGTGCAATCTGCATCACCACGCCATTGCCCCAACTCAATATACTTATAATTTTATCTATTTTCATCCATCAACTATATATACTAACATAAACTGACACTCATACATCGTCATTTCAGTTAAAAAAACATTATAGTTTAAGTCTGAGATAGTGAGAGAACCTGAGCCATGCTCTTCTGTCTTGCACAAGCGATTTCCTTAAGGATTGGGCTCTCCATTACTGCATTTGTACCACAAAAACTTTTGTAAGATCCCAGTGGTGACCATGCACTCACATGAATTCCTTTCTGCTTGCAAAATTCTGTGAGTTTCCCCTGCTGCCATGATGGACTCATTTCTACCTGAAACCAATGGAAAGGAATCAACATCATTAACAACTGTTTCGTCACTGTCTAAATATCAATCTGCATGCAGTTGCTAAATCTTCATACCTGATTGACAGCAGGAGGGATGGTAGCATTTTCCAAGAGCTGGCTGAGCTTTTTGATGCCAAAGTTGCTGACACCAATAGACTTTACTAACCCCAATCTGTAACACTCTTCCATAGCTTCCCATATTCCTTTCATGTCAAAGGAGGGCATCACATTCTCCTTTAATATATCAGCAGGCCCTTTGGCTTCAGGTTTCAGCCTCACAGGCCAATGAATCAAATAGAGATCTACATACTCCAACCCCAACTTCCTAAACAGTTTCAGGGAAATTTAGATAACATGCAACAAGGGAAATAAACTCTAGAAGAAGATACTAAGATTAGGTTTAAAAAGTATGTTGTAACACTAAAAACAATAGTTTTCAGATATAAAAATTAAAAAGTAACCAACTGAGTGGTTAAACCTCCTGTATACTTACTGCAGTGAGGTCTTGAGAGCTGGGACAACAAGGTCAGGGTGAGCATCACTTGTCCATAGTTTTGAAGTGATGAATACTTCATCTCTACTCTTTACAAGGCCTAGCTCCAAAGCCTTTTCCACAGCTTTGCCTAGAGGCTCCTCACTTCCATACAATGCAGCAGTATCAAAGTGTCTGTAGCCAACCTCAAAGGCATCAATAAATATGGAGGTGAGAGTTTCATCTGGTGGACGAGGAATTGATGCGGTTCCAAGGCCTATCACTGGCATCTTTTGCCCTGAGTTTAGCATCACTTCTGGGATTCTTCTTGCTTCCATATTTTCTGTTGGGTTTGACTTGATGAATGTTGAAATGTTGCACACAATAACAGTAGTCATTACAATATAGTAGACTGAAACATGACAGATAACTAAGGACAAAACATTGAAGAAGTTCTTTTATCTTTGCCGTCAAGTTCTCTAATCAAATGATGCTGCAATGATTTTCTTGTGACAAAAGTCCAAATTAAAAAAAAAAAAAAACTCATGTCACCAATTTGGTTAGAGAAGTTGATAATATATTTAATTAATTATTTTCATATTTATAAAAAAATTAAATAAATTTTGATTATTACAAATTTGACAAATTATTAAATTTAAATATAGAAAAATTTAGAAGATAAAAAATTATAAATATACAAATAATTCAAAATATATTTGGAAACGTGTCCCGATATATCACTAGGAAAATTCGTCTCTGCGCACACTGTATGTTAGCTCTAAACAATTTCAAACCACAAAAACAAATAAAAGATTGGATAAGGAACTGCCACAAAATTAAAAAAGAAAAAAAAAAAAGGATAGAACGATGCTTACTGGATAGTGGTCTTCAGAGTTGACAGAAGATGTGGTGAGCATTAGTGTTCCATAACTTTGACGATGTAAATCGATAACTGATTCCAAATAAAATTGTTGAAAAAAGATTTAGGTTTGGAATCCCGTTAATAGCAGAAAATGAAGAATTCAAATTAAAATAGAGAAAAACTTAAATAAAGAAAATTGTCAAAATTTTTGTTGATAGAATTGATAAATCGAAAGATTCAACGAAAAATTCTAGTAGAAAATTATTCTCCCCTTATCTAGGGTTTCAAATCAGAACAAAAAATCATTCTTCCCTTAGTTTAGGGTTTGAATTCAATTAAAAACATAAAATTAAAATTGAAAATAAAATAGAGAAAAACTTAATTAAAAAAAGACGTCAACAAACAAAAATTGATAAGCTAAGATGATTGATCACTCTTTCAATTGATGAATTCTTTATAAAATAGAAGATGTAAGGAGAAATCATACCAGAAAAATATTCTCACCTTCACAAAAATAATCTGTTAACTCTTATCTGAATTCAACAAATTTAAATACAAATGGAGGGTTTTATTGGGATTTGTCTCTATAAATAAATAAAAGAAAAACAAAACTAAAAGAAATATATATAAAATCAATTGTCCTGTATGGTTAAGTAATTAATTATTAAATTAATAGTTTTAGGTTAAAATTCACTTTCATTAAATAAAAT